TCACTTTTATCATAGATATTGTTGCTGCTGCTGTTCTCTCTGGAAATAGGAACTTTGAGGGACGTGTGCATCCATTAACACGAGCTAACTATCTGGCTTCACCTCCACTTGTTGTAGCATATGCACTTGCTGGAACGGTAATACCATTTTGCCCTTTGTTGTGCCATTCCCTTTCTTTACTGCTAGCTAGGAATTGGTAACGAATAAATACAGAAATATTATATAGATTCTTTATAACAATCTAAAGAGCCGGTCTTTTGTTTTTCATTTAAATGATGGAACATGTAAACCTGACTTGTCTTTTTATTATTTTCATATCTGCCAATTAGCAACCCAAAACATGACCAACATGGCAATGCATATTGGTTTTTATTAAGTCATTTTATTGGTGTTATTTTTTAACTTCTTAATTAGGAACCAGTGTATATCTGATGATGTATATCTTTCATTTTTATTAGACAGAACCTTAATTAAGTACATAGCATTTAGCAAATCATGCATCATTGATTATTGGACAGATACAAACTTGAGAATCAAAGTTAGGTGGCTACCAGAGGGTCCCATTTGGTGAGAATTGGGATCTGTTTTTATTTTTAGTGCAATGGAACTTGGTTAAAACTTAGAAGCTAAGTTTAAGAAAAGAAAATGATCTGTTTCTGGAGGATTCACATGATTTCAATACTTACAATCAAAGAGACATTCGTCCTTTCTGGATGCATCTCCCACACAATTTTCAGGGATAGAGGTGACACTGGCATCACAACTTTTATTTTCTGTGGCTTCTTCTTTGTTACAGAGAAGCTCTCAGACATTTTTAATTTTAACTATGTATATTTGAATTTTTTGTGGAACCTTTGTATGCCCCAATGTCTCTTATAATCTTTGATGTCAATTTTCATATTTCAGGTTGACATTGATTTTGAGAAGGAACCAATTGGTACAGGAAAGGATCGTAAGAGCATATACTTCAAAGATATATGGCCATCTACCGAAGAGATTGCTCAGGTAGACACTAGAATACCTAGCCATGGTTTCTCAAATTACTATATATTGATAACTAGCAGTCCTCAGTATTCACATAATTCAAAACAATTATGAATTCTGAGTCCTGTCTCAACTTCCATCTTTTGTAGGTTGTGCAATCCAGTGTGTTGCCTGAAATGTTCAAGAGTACATACGAGGCAATTACGAAAGGTAACCCTATGTGGAACCAGCTGACGGTCCCAGCCACAACACTATATTCATGGGATACAAATTCTACGTACATTCATGAACCACCTTATTTTAAGGACATGACTATGGCTCCACCTGGTCCTCATGGGGTGAAGAATGCATATTGTTTATTAAACTTTGGTGACAGCATCACGACCGATCACATCTCGCCAGCAGGTAGCATTCACAAGGACAGTCCTGCTGCAAAGTACCTGCTTGAGCGTGGTGTAGATCGCAGGGATTTCAATTCATATGGTAGCCGGCGTGGCAATGATGAAATAATGGCAAGGGGAACATTTGCAAACATTCGTCTTGTCAACAAGTTCCTGAAGGGAGAAGTGGGACCAAAGACTATACATATTCCAACAGGAGATAAGCTATATGTCTTTGAGGCAGCAATGGTGATTTCATCGAACCTAATACTGATAATTTTACTTTCAAATTGTTATCATGACAGTAGTACTAAAGTAACTAGTCTAGTTGTATTTTTAGTTCATTAAGTTCATGATTGAGGCTTCCTAGTTTTCTTACCGGAGCTATTGCGTTTGATACCTGATTTTATTGTGTTGCTTGCTTCTATCATAGGTGATGATTTAGTTCCTTGGTCGATCATCGTAAAGCTGTTAACATAATCAGAGTTTCTGTGAGTTTGAATATACACTGATTAGTGAGACATTTTTATTTCTGAATGACAGTAGGTTGGCAATGACATCAAACTTGAAACTCTATACATTAATTAACTAAGTGAAAAATTGTTGCCTTTCAGCTGCGTGTAATACTTTCCAATGATATAAATAAAACCAATTCAGATCGACTGTATAGATCTTCTGTTTATTAAAGATTTCTGGTTGAAACTTGTTATTATTAGTGTTGTATATTTTTTTTAGAAAAAGTTCTCAACAGATCTTATTTGATGCATTGAATCTGTTACCAATGGTTGCTTTTTTGTGTAGTCAATCATTTGATGTGTTGAAACTGTTACTGACTGTTGCTTGTCATGTAATTAATTATGTTAGTCCGGTGGACTCATGGAGTTGCCTTTTGTAGCAACTATGTGCTTGATTTCACTTGTTTATTTCTTTGAGTTATTTTAATAATAATTACAGAGCAACTGAGATTTCATCGAAAATTTTTTTGTTTCAGAGATACAAGGCTGATGGGTATGATACCATAGTTTTGGCAGGAGCAGAGTACGGAAGTGGTAGCTCTCGAGATTGGGCTGCCAAGGGGCCAATGTTGTTGGTATGTTGCTATCAACATGATTTGTGATTTTGTGATTGTTTATTTGTGGTGTTTGTTATATATCACATGTTGCTTCCAATATTTGTTTTCTTAGGGAGTCAAAGCTGTGATAGCTAAAAGTTTTGAGAGGATCCATCGCAGCAATTTAGTTGGGATGGGTATCATTCCACTTTGTTTCAAGCCTGGTGAGGATGCTGAGACACTGGGTTTGACAGGATATGAGAGCTATACGATAGATCTTCCAAGTTGCATCAGCGACATAAGGCCTGGTCAAGACATTACTGTTGTTACCGACTCTGGAAAGTCTTTTACCTGTACTCTTCGATTTGATACAGAGGTAAAACATTTACTGAACTCCGTGATAAGAAAATTATTGCTTTGTAAATGATTCAGGAAGTTATGATTCCAAATTTCTGAAGTAAATATAACTTTTTTTTAAAGTTATTGGACAATCCTTGTTGATATCTCTCAATTAGAATTCTTAAGAACAAAACCGTTGTTGCTTTTCCCATTTTACATGTCTTCCAATATCTACTGATGAAATAGCAGCTTCTCTTCATTTGGCTTGCTTAACTCTCTTTTAGAACTCGTACAGTTTCTATTCAGTCTTATAATGATAATATTCCCTACCATATTTGATTTAGTAATATGCATCAGAAACTATATTATCAGAAGTTTGACAATGTAAACCAAGTTCTAACTTTCTGTGGTAGAATAAATTATTCATGACAAGTAAAAAGTAAGAAGTGGAATGTGACCTGCTGCTGCATGAGGCAATTATTGTCTTTTGGTGCTTTCTTTGTAAGCTTTGCTGTGCACCACCATTGCGTTATAATATTTGCTATGTCGGCAAAGTTCATATTTCTGTGAATACAAGTCTGTTGTGCTGTGATTTGTTGTTTTTCATTGAAATGCTTATGAGCTTCACATTAATGACCTTGGAACTGTTATGCAGGTAGAACTGGCGTACTTCAATCATGGTGGAATCCTTCCATTCGTCATCAGAAATCTTATAAGTTCTCAACACTAGGGTGTATGTTTCTTTGTGATGCCTCGAGCTGTCAGCATTGCTGGTCTTGGCCTCAATTGGAGTGGGCATTTCGAATAAATTAGCAGGATAAGGAGGCACTTCTACAAGTCATTTGCCTGTTTGCTAATGTATTTTGTGCTGATACCACAGTTGCATTCAAACTTATCTTTTCAGAGCCAATGTTGTTAAACTCTCCTGTTCTGATGGGTGCCATGAAATCACTATTAATTGCCATGCCTTTTCAGGTGAAGCTTGATGTGCGTTGTCAACATGGCAACTATTAATGAGTGACTCCTTCCACCAGCAAGGCAGAAGGTTCATGTTGTTAAATTTGATACTCATTTTAGCAATGTTGCAGAGATCTGCAAATGATTTCATTTGGATGAAAAGTTACCTATGCCTACAAGACCTTGGACAAACAAAAATCATTGTATAACTTAGCTGAGAAAGGATCTTTCCCTGGGTGGCATCTGAATTTTCAGCCTAATCTTCTATGATTATATATATATCAGTATCAGGACGATGAACTCTTCTTGCAGTAGTATGACTGTATATCGACTTGTTTATACCTTCGTTATTGTGTCTATCTTTTTTCTATCATGAGAATGGAAATTTTAAGCTTTGCAATGCCGTGTACGAAGAGGAACATGGTTTTTGACTGAAATATGCTCTGAGCTGACATTTTGACAGAATTAGCTTCTTGCTACCTTGCCAATCTATGCAGGTGACATTTACTTTAGTTAATATTGGATCTAATTAGGTACACATGTATCCTTATTTTGATATTGACCTGTGTATGTTGATTAAAATACCTCTGTAATAATTGTTAACTTGCTCAGTTGTTAAGATCTTCTATGTTGACTGACAGGTCGTCTTTGGTTCGACTCTTCTTCGAATCGGTTTTTTTCCTCGAGCATTATGAGCTGGTGTTCGTTGACCCTGAACCTAAACAGCGCCAAGTTTCAACTTGCAAAATTTCAGTCTGATCAGTGTAGAGACATTGCAAATTGTGATTCTCTTGGAATATATTTTCTACCTTAACTCATCTCGTATCTGATTAAAAAATATTATCTGAATGTATCAAATATACTCGTGTCCATAAGAAAACTTGATCCCTACCGTCCCTCTTTAACCATAATTCAATTGATTTGAATTCAATGATGCCCTGTTTTTCTATCTAAATCTGTCATTAAGTTGATTTAATTAATTGTATGAACTCTTTGAAAATAATCCGTGCAAACTCGGGTGAAACTACCGACCCGCTATCGTTACTAAATGTAGGATCAATTGACTCGGTTTCACCACTTTATAACCGACCATTTATTTGGTTGGACCAGAACATATCATCATCTGTCACGTGATATAACACGTGACGACGACCAAATCAAAAATATATTTCATTCTGCAAACACGATCAGCGCGCCATTTCTATCCCTACGCCAATCCCATCGAAGGCGATGCTTCCCAGAGTGGTTTCGAAGCCGAAGAAGGATACGACGGAGGCGAAGTATTAAGAATGGAAGAGTATTTGGACGACGGCGATGAGAACGAGTTGGAGATGGCCGACGCGGCTTGCGAGAAGGGCCATCGCCCGTCGATGGCAGTGGCCACGGCCGAGGGCGGCGCCATCTGCCTCGTCTGCCTCTCCGCGCTGCTCTCCGATCGTCGCGCGCTCACCCACCACGTCTCCTACGCCCTCTCACAGCTCTCCGCAGCCATCCGGTGCCCCGAGTTCGTCCGCCGCCTCGCCGGCCGCCAGCCCCACCTTCTCGTGTCTCCCCTCGTCCGCGCCCTCTCCTCCTTCGACGACGAGCCCCTCGCGCGCCAGCTGATCGACCTCGTCTCCGATCTCTCCGGGTGCGGGCTCCCCTGCTCCGTGTTTGGGGATTTCATCACGCGCATCGCGGATTTCCTCTCGTCCGGCGCTCTCGCTTGGAGCCGACGGCAATTCTTTATGGTAATCTCTTAGTACGTCTAAGCCTTTCTGCCAGTTACAATTCTAATATGGAGTTACTATACATAAAAAGAGAAGTGATGGGAAGAAAGTGTTATTATGTGTTTCACATTATACATAAGTGTATTTTGGAGCATCGTTGAAAGTACACGAATATTATAAGTGGAAAGAAATTGGTCAAAAGTAATTTCGAATCTCACCATCTGCATAATGGTCTAAATATACGATACATATTGGTTCACATGCATTTAATAGAAATAGTACAATCTACAAACACAAAACCCTTGTGCATAAGGTCTTGGTGTTAAATTACTGTCAGATTATGAGAGTAGCAGCACCGGATAACAATCTGAAAATATTAAGCCAAGATCTATTTCTCAATTCATTTTCTGAATCAAAATCCTGGAGAAAGGCAGGGAGCAATCACATTTAGCTGAACTTGTCATGTATAGTCAATAGCATTTCTCGATTGATCTAATTTTTGGTCCTACACACAATGCATAGAAAGAGACATGAAAGACATCTTTATTTGTTTACCAAAGTAGATTTCTTCTCCAACCATGCTAGGCCTTGTCATTTAACATGTATCACATGATCATGGTTTCGGTATATACACCCTGGGACTGATAAAGAGTCTCTGGGTTTTTTTTCCGACATGTTTCATTGCCAATCACAAGCTGATATTGAGTTGCTTTTCTTTCCTTGACTGTTTTTGAAATTTTTCTTAATTTATTATTGTTACTAACTTGATTACATTGGTATAATACTAACATTCAACTTGCTGAGAAGGGGAACATGCTAGTAACATGGAAGCTTGCAACATGTACTGTCAATAAACAGCACATAATGCACAATAGCTGCTTTTTACAATAATATCATAGGGTTAGATCTTTTTAGTTGAATGTCATGGTGTGCATGTTATGATGCATTTACTTTTAATTCCATGATTTTCATACATTACTTTTGATTTAGCATTGAATGTAACTGAAGTCAACTTTACTTACTCTTAGGACTTACTGGTAATTCAGATCACCTAGAACATTATAGTTTAGTTGCAACTGAGTAACCGTTCAATTTTATTTCCTGTAGAAATATCATTGTATTTTTGCCTTTTCATTTTTTGTGGTTCCACATAGGATATACAATATACACACTTAAAGATTTGCTTAAGAAAAGATGGCTATATCATTTGGTTGTATAACTTGGCACCTAGAGTTCCCAAGTACCTTGCCTTCCTGGTTGCCTTGACTGCATGCATGCATGTAAAGTTATGAACCAAGGATGCACTCGAAGCTTGTAGTGTACCCAACATAGACACTTCAAGAAATTTATTTGCTGCTTTATCTTCTTTTATTTGGCTTTTAGGGTCTCTGATGTTTAGTTCACTTCAAGGTCACTTGTATCTTGTGATGTAGCTGCATTGTTTGGGAGTCCTGCTGAATTCTTGCAAGGAATACAACCCGGCAGCTCATATTAGAGATAAAGCTGCCCTTTTCTCAACACTTGTTGTGGGTCTTCAGCTGCCAAGGTGAAAGAAAGCATTTGAGATCATCTTAAAACATTCACTCAAGTATGTGCGACAATAACTCTTTATGCATTCCCTTTGAAACAGTGAAGAGATTCGAGGGGAGATAATGTTTGTGCTGTATAAGATGTCCCTTCAACAGGCCACTCCATGGGATGATGAGAACAACCATGATATTGATCTTTCATCAAAAGGAAATTCCTTACTGCAACTTTCACTTGAAGCTTTGCTCAAGACCCAAAAGGATGATGTTCGCATAAATTGTGTAGGTTGGTTCAGCTGTCCTACTGTTTTGCTATGTACTCCACTTTTGTAGTCTTCCATTATATGAGAGAAGTGCATATTCCTCTTTAAATTTTGACAAATGATAACTATAGATATATGGGGAGTTATGCTTAGCACCATAAGTGGGTTTCTTCATTTTAGTAAGATTACTGCAATAATAATTCAAGTTCCTTTTTTAGCTGGTTAAAGATTCAGGTCTTCAAATTGTTTGAGAGCCATGAGAACTATCCATATTGATGGTGGGTGCTGCTATCAGTAAGAAGTAATTGCCATAGGAAGCAGCAGTATCAAAGAGTTCAAAGGATGAACGACAAAGACAAAAACAAGGAAAGAGAAACCATACATGTTGATGTCGTAATAATTATAGTGAAATGGGATGGGAAAAAAGATGAAAAAACAAGAATTCTTGTTCCTGGCAGAGATCTGTTCTGTAAAATGCTTTAATTGATATGTGCACCATCGGTGCTACCTAATGTTTGTCTTCTGATTTACGGATGTGATCTAGATTGGAATCTCCTTTAGTCAACTGTCCGACAGTGGATGAAGGTGGGAGCCCATAAGTGCACAGTTCCTGCGATTTTTACTATTGTGAAGCGTGAAGCACAAGGAGCATAAAAATAATTCATCTACTTATGTCAAGACTCAACAGAACCGAGAGGTACTTAGTGATCGGAAGCACCTTTAATTTAAACAGTGGTCTTGATCTACTTTAAGCATTAGATGATACCAATCGATGCCTTAAAAGCATCCAATAAGCCTTCTATATATGCCATAATCAATGAAAAGATCAACTTCTATACTATTGTATAAATCTGTTAGATGGTGGTGTTTGGAGTGGACCAATATAAGCCACTTTCATGTTTAACTACCAGGCATCTTTTAATACATTGATCCATAATTTGTATATGCTGATAGTACAAGTGGCAATAGATGTCCTAGCAGGGTACTGCAGTAAAATATATTTGTGTAACCTCACTAGATTGGGGTTCCAATGTTTTTTATGTAGTAAACATTTTAAAAACTGAATGCAACTTGATTGTGTTTGATGGAGCAGGCTGAATTTTAAGAATGAGATTGAAGGATGTAGAATAGATGGATGCAGCAGAGCTTAAATGAATGATTTTGTATAATTTTTTTTTTTTGTTACAATATGAGGATTCAGATGACCAGTACCAACAGATTCTGTCAACTATGGAAAATACAGTGGTTTAAACTTATTATCTTTCCATATGTTTTCTTAGTGCATAAGCTGGTGTGTGGTTGCAGAAAAGCTTATTGATTGGGCTTGCGAGTTTGATTTCTGTTGTCTTGGAGATTCTTAGTTGGTGTGCTCCCTAGGCTAGAGACTCCTGCTACTAAGCTCATGCACCTTCAAACTCTTCTAAAATTGATGCATTAGATATGTGTACTGAAATTATTTTCTGATGGACTTATCCTCTATGCATTTCATTTCCTAGTTATTGGGAAGATGAATATGAATAGATTGTGGAGCGACTTTATTATTCCAACTAGGTGTGATTTATTTAAAGCTGATTAAGTGAATTTACATTTCTTCTATAAGTTCTGAGAAGTACTTAATGGCTCTTTGTTTGTCCAGTGATATTTCCTTCAATGGAGTTCAACTGTGGGATATCTCATAGTTGACCCAAAAATAGTTGGTTCTGCAGGGGTGCTTGTCATTGTTCAAATAAAATTTGAGAGTTTTGATGCCATATCATTGCTTCTCCAACGTGACATGGGGTTGTCAGGGGCTGTAGTCATGATAATGGCATTTTTGTACATCTGACACTCAACTAATCTGCAATGGTGGGAGCCTCATACACTGATTATCTTTTTGGTTTAACTGAACTTACAAGTTTTGACATGGTTTCTCATCAATGTATATGGCTTTTTGTTAGAAAGAATCTTTATTAATGAACTTTACCATTTCAGAAAGAAGTCACTGCTAGCATCAAACAGAAATAGGCTGAAGTTCCTAAGGTTGGACCTAGCCAACTTCAAGTTCATGTATACCTTGCTTTACCAAAATATTGCTAGTCACTTCCAGCTTTAACCAGTCTCTACACTATTTTTACTTTAAAATAGACAAAAGACTTGAGAAGTTATCTATGATTCTCAATTACATTACATATCTTCCAAGGGACATCACCAGACGATGGCAATAATTGACTAATACAAATATGCAAACAAAAACTTCAACTTATTATATTTGGAAAATTATAAGATTTTTCATTTTTCCGTTAGTTTTAAGTAGAAATTACTAAATAGTAAATAGGTTAAATTTGTGACTCTCATTGTAGTTACTTAATATAAAAATGTCTTATATTCCATCATGCACTTTTATTGTTCTCACATGGTCTCACATCTCAAAAACCATTTACCCTGCAGCACTGCTGATGGTGTTAGCCCGGAGAGGTGTATTCGATAACTCTTTTGAAAATGATCAAATTGGAGGCTTTAATAAAGAAATAGATAAGCCGATTCATGGAGATGAAGTAGTCTTTTCTTCACCTCTTATTGAAATGTTTGCTGATGCTATTAAAGGTCCTCTGCTTTCTTCTGATAGTCAACTACAAACCAGCACCTTGGACTTGGTCTTTCATATCTTTTCATCTGGTGCTACTTGTTTGAAGAAAATTCAAGCTCTTGTTGAAAATAACATTGCAGATTATGTTTTTGAAGCACTCAGACTGTCAGGTATCAAGTTTTTAGATATTTGTAGTGTGTTCTCTAAAAAGTGATCAGACTCTCAGTTCATTGAAACACAATTAGGCGATTGGCAAAACCACTTAATATATTATATTATGATGTCAATCTGCAGGAAACAGAGATTCCCTCATCATTTCCTGCCTTCAAGTTCTTAATTTATTAGCAACTGCTGAAGAAGTCTTTATACAAAGACTTGCAATAGGTTTTCCTACATTGCTTGCAGTTTTACGATATGTAACTGAGATACCTCTTCATCCAGTTCAAAATCATGCTCTAAAACTTGTTTGGACTTGTATCACAAATTGCCCAGGAATCATGTCAATTTCTCAAGTAGAGGAAATAGCCGTGATTTTGACAGGAATTTTCAGAAGACCTGACATGGGAGAGCTGGCCATGGTTTCTGAAACCTTTACCTTGGCCTGCTCAACATTTGTGGAGATCCTAAGATCACCATCTGCCTGCAATATACAGCAATTGGCTTTATTATTTCAAGAGGCATCTAGAAATGCAGTAATTGCATCTCTTTCATCTCATGAAGATCCAGATAAACTTCTGTACTCCCTCTACCTTCTAAAAGAAGTATACACATGTGGTGTTGAGGGATATTCCCATGCAAGTTGTGCCAGAAAGGAGTTGGAGGAAAATATTATTGAAACTTGTTTAACATATTTGTTACCTTGGCTTGGAAGAGTCATCGATGGAGGGCAAGATGAGGAAATTGTACTGGGTATTATCGAAACTTTTCATATAGTTTTACTTGTGGGTTCGGAAATTCAAGCACGACACTTTGCTGAGTCTCTGGTTTCATCGTCTTGGTTCAGTTTGTCATTTGGATGCTTGGGATTGTTTCCAACTGACCAGATGAAAACAAGAATATACCTGATGCTAAGTTCAGTTATCGACAGACTTTTAGGCTCTGACTTTGGAGAATCCATCAGAGATTGCTACCCCAATCTTCCATCTGATCCTCTAGAGCTGATATATTTACTGGGTCAAAGCTACTTAGATGATCCACTTATGGCTTCCTGTCAATGTGCTGTTCTTATGATGCTATATGTTAACTCATTGTATGGTGAAAGGTACTATATTGTTTCTGTCAGTTCACTTCCTGTAAAGCTTAGAGTCATAGGCATTAGCTTATTTGATATTTCGGTACTCCAGGTTTACTGATGGGAACCAAGTATTGGCTTCTTTAGAGCAATATATCCTTGTCAATGTCAGCAGCAACTCATCATGTGAAATTGCTAATTCCATGATGCTTTCTCAATTGGTGCATCTTTACGCTCTTGTTAGAAGTGATCCCTTTAGCTGTCAATCACTGTGCAGCACGGAAGCTGAAAAATCTGTGTTCTGTTTAATAGCTGAAATGGAGTTGGATTTGTTCTCTATAGGTCTTCATCCAAGAGCAGTAAAGTGGTTTTTCCAACAGGAAGAAATCATGAAACCCCTTTCTTACTTGGTACTGAACTTCTGTAGATCATACAGCACAAACAAGGCTCAAATTTGTACACAATCAAATTGTATCAAACTGCTAGATATCCAGATGATAGCAGACCTCATAGTTTCTGGAGATAACTTTGTCACAGAATTGCTGGTTTCATTAGTGAAAGAGTTAGAAGAAGGCAGAGAAGATGATATCTCACATTTGGTTAATGCCATGACGGACATTCTGAATATTTTTCCTGGAGCATCTGATGAGTTCAGCTTACATGGCATTGCTGAAGCACTTAATAGGGTCTTTTACTTGACACATGATGCACTGATCATCAAGACCTGCTCCCTTTTCATTTTTAATGTTCTTTCTTTGGCAAATCATGAAACTCTTTCTCAAGATAAAAATTGGCTTGGAATCCTACTGAAGGTATATCCTATAATCTTTCTGATGCCATTCTACATGTCAACTTCCTTCCACTCTCTTACATGTTCCACACTTACCAGAAATGCTCCTTTGGCTATGTAACAATTGACATAAATCAAATGATGGAAAAGATATTTGTGAGTTATTATCATTATGTTTTAGGACCGTTCAGAGGCAAGATGGAGAAAGAATACCCCAGGTTGCTCCTTTTTTTTGTGTTTTGATGGAGAATCTTACAAATTGTTAGTTTCTTTAAGAGGAGATATTTGTCTTTCTGAATATAGAAAATTATGTCAGTCAGTTTAGAATTCATAATTGCAGAGAACTTACTGGATTGTTGTGTTCAATGCAGCTGCTTGAGCATTTAAGACCTAAATTAGTTCACTACTCATTTGGCCAAGAAGAACACTTGATACTTGCTATTTTTAGCCTCATCCTTCACTATTCCACCAGACAAGTACTTCAAGAAGCATCAAAGGCTATACTACTGGATAAGTCTTTAGCTTCTGCTGTAGAGAAAGTTGTACAGACAGCATGCGAAAAAGGTCCAGCATTAAATGCTTATGATGAAGAGACACCTATAGGAGAGACATTAATTTTTCTCCTTTTACTATATGTGTTCTCTTTAAGAAGGTCAGTGATCTTAACTGTTGCAATCGATACTACTCATTGAAGCTCAGCTAATGCCTTTTCTTCTCAGTTTGCATGCTGTATTTCAGGAAACTATGGATTGGCAAGACTTCTTTCAATTAGCTGATGAAAGTTATCCATCATCAGTAATCTGTATTAAATGCCATGATTTATGCAGGCTGCTGCATTTTGGTTCCTCAATTGTGAAGCTGGTTTCTTCACAGTGTCTACTGGAGTTGCTGACCACAGTTTCAGAACAGAGGGAGAAGAAAAAAAAAGAGCCAAATTGGTCTGTTAGATACGTCGAATCTGTTATAACTGTTGCAGAAGGCTTGCTTTTCTATGGAGACTTTACAACATCCTCAAACTGTCGTGCTTGTCTTTCTATGCTCTTAGGGTGGGAAAAGTCTGGTTCACTGGACAAGAAAGTGATTGGAAATTCCAAATGGTTTCGGCTAGTAATGGAGGAATTAATCATGACTTTAGCTGCACCTTGTTTTGCATCACGATCTTTCACAAATCAACACAAGCCTGCAGCTCATATGGCTATATTTTTCCTCAAAATGGACAAAGTACCTTCATGGATGAAATCAGTGTTCAGTCATTCTAGTATCTCTGGAATTCTGAACAACCTTTCTGCATGTAGTTTGACTTCAGATATGGTCAAACTCTTCAGGGAGTTGAGAGTTAGGAAATATCTAAACAAAGAGCAGGTTGATGCTCTCCATAATTTGTTCCAGGTTAGAATTCTCTCTTCTACCTATGTAAAATTTGTTAGCATGATTTAACATCCAAAATTACGAAATCTAATTTGTTAGTATGAAAAATATTTTTTGTTGTGAAGAAAAATTATGTTGAACAATTCCAGGTATATGCATATGTACCATTTTTATTCTAAATTCTCTAATTTTAGACAGTCTTCCCTTGGAGAAATACTTCAAATTTTTTAGGTCTGAATTTTATACTTTTATGAGCTTTTCTTGGTTTTAAAATGAGATACTACCTGTTTGTATCTTATTTCTTTATATTGATGCAGGTTTGCAGAAAGCAAGTGTACAAGGACATTTCCAGAGAGGAAGTTGTAGAGGAGAATATTCACAAGGTTATGAAAACCCCTTATGATACAGGTGATGTGTGCACTGTGCTCATTAAACTTTTGCTATCTTCAAATAGCTATTACAATGAAATTCAATCAGAGCATGAAAAGCTGCTAGAAGAAATTGATTTGTTTCTCCAATTTTCAACCATCCAATAAGAGTAGGGGCTCTGTCAAATCTCTGTATTCTTTTTCATGTTCTCTCTCTCTCTCTCTCTCTCCATTTGGTGTTAGGAACTGGTTTTCTGATTGAGTGGCAGGAATCCGTCTGTGTTTAATTCCACATATAACATCTTTTTTGTGTTGAATCATGTAATAGCTAATTTTTGGGGTCCCTGCCTAGTGCCTTGTTCCAAAGAAATGACTAGAGGAAGTTAGAGTTGAAAAAAATGGAAAAAAGAAAACAATCATCTTAATAGGAAAAAGGAGTGGAATATTCATAGGAATGTTTTCAGAAAACTAGAAGATAATTCAGATCGGTTATATATCGGTTTCCCTATGGAATATTCTTAAAAGACCAAAAAGCAATTTGGGACGATTATGAATTGTCTTCTTTATAGGATATTTATGAGAGACTCTTTTCCCTTGAGGTTAGTATAAAAATACGTCCTTAGCTCTAGATAAAAGAAGAGAAAAAAGAGAAAAAAGTGTAACTAAGTTGTAACTTGAGTTTCGGAGGGATCTACTCGAGAAACCCCCTTTGACCTTGATCTTTGTGCAAGAATGAGGCTGGAGAAATCATGCTCTATCTCGGAGGACTCCTCGCATATGGATCAGGGTTACATTGTGTTGATGCAAATGTCAACGAATTTTTCCCCAACATTTTGGCACTAAAAGGAGAGCCTCATGTCGTAGGTGCGTCTGCGGGCTGATCTTGTTCGTGAACATTCAGGTGAGGCTTTGCCTCCGACCCTTAACTCCTTCACTTAGATAGGGTTGCGACCACTCTTTTCCTACATAGATACATCCACCTCATCGCAAGTACCACTACAACATTGATGTTCGTTTAACGACCCTAGGCCTTCATCTCCGCGAGTGTTGGCTAACCATCTTCTCGTTCCTGTCAAGGCAATCTTGAATCTCACCTAGCAAATGTAAGCATTAGTTGACATAATATATGCGTCCTTCGGGGTCCTTTCGCCCAATGAATTATCGGCCCCTCTCGAGCATCCACGACTTATCGAACCACCAATTGATAGAGCTCCTCATTGCCAACTATTGTTTCGCTTTGCTTGAGTTTGAGACCCACTCGACTGACTCAATGGACAACTCCTTGAGGATCCGATTGTAATAAATAGATCGATGCTTAGAAAAAATGTGTTGTGACTTTCACCAATCCAGGAGTGAGAGGCATATTAACTCCACATAGAGTTGGTCCTCGTTTATTCAAGACATCCAAGAGGAGCCGATCCCTACTAATTTTTGCCTCCCATCATTGGAAACCTTTGATGGCATTACTGATCCAGTGGCACATCGCTGCCTTCTGGACTCAGATGTCAATATATAGCATCTCGAATGCTCTAATGTGTCATGTCTTCCCAACCACCTTAAGGGGTTTGTAAGAAAGTGGTACACACATCTAAAATTATTTTTTATTAATTCCTTCGCTTAACTAGTGAAGAAGTTCGAGCTCCACTTCCACGGAAATGTTCGCTTGAGGCTCACGACAATAATGTTTCTAGGATTAAGACAAGACGAGGAGGAGACACTTACGAACTTCATTAGTCGATTCACCAACGAGATCCGAGGTGTAGACAATGTTCACCCCTCGTTCATGATTCAGTCCTCCATGATGGACTGGAGCCCTCTTGCCTCTTTTGGTCATTGGTAGAAACGACACCAACAACGATGCTCAAAGTACTTCAAAGAACCAACTAATGCATTACTGTCGATGCAATAATCTCGAGCAAGCACGGCGAACCCCACAAAAGATCGAAATAAGAGCAACCACAATCTGCCCCCTACCCAAGATTGCCACGGTAGAGGAGAAGCGAATGACCCGACCTGCCTTGCTCGAGGTCCGAATTAACCCCATTGAATCTTGACTAGAATGAAAGTTTTCTTGTAGATATGGGAAAGAGGCTTGATAAGAGACCCCTGATCGATGAGGACTCCACTAAAAAGGAGAAACAAATCTAGGTATTGTCGTTTCTATTGTGATTATGCTCATGATACAGAGGATTGTTACAATATGAAGGAACATATTAAGGAGCTCATATGATAAGGACACTTTAGGTGATTCGTCCGAAGATGTCGGGAGCCATCACCTTGACCTCAGGGGTTAGTAAAAAGATAGATCGATGTCAACATTGATGACTAAACCTCATGAGGAGACAACACCTCGAGTCGCAAAGCTTATACTCGAGCCATAATCGGTAAGCACCCCAGGACCAAGGGCAACCAAGAAATAACTTTTAGAGAGGAAGAAATGGAATGCAGATTGGTCCAAGGGCAAACTGAATGCAGATTGGTCCAATGGATTAGATCCCTTGTACCATCTAGGAATTATGGCGTAGTAGCCTAGTATATTCATGTCAATGAATTGAGTGAATTATTATGGGAATAATAATTCTCTGAGTCATTTAAGATGGTACAAATATACAGAGAGCTAATAGTTAGAAAAGATAAAATGAATCATGATTCGTCTTATTGGCCTATACAAATGTACTAATCGTTCATCTACGTACCGAATCATACCAATATATTGACACATAATTTGATAGGATATACTAATAAATCAGTATATACTAATCTTATCGATCCCCTATCAAATTGATATGTACTACTCGTGCTATGTGGTATATAATATTATGATGAATCTTGAAATGAATATAATTAACAATAGGAGGAGAGGCAGATGAAACCTAAAATTTATTTAATAGAATGTGTCACATCCTAGATTTTTTTCATATAATTACAATATGTTTCCACAATTATATCGAGAGTCAAGTAACTATGAGCTTTATTGAGAAATATAGTATCATCCACTCAAAAATAAAGTTCAACCGGGTCAAGTTGAGTGGTAGAGAAAGATATGCTTTTCATTGGAATCTAATTTAGTACTATCGAGAGACTACTTTAAAAATAAAAAAAAATAAAATAAATTTTTTTTAGCAACATTGAGTAGGAACCCCTATAAGACAACTATAAAATAAATATATGTCCGAAAGTCATCCCACTGACTTATATCAAATGCCTGAAAGAGCACTCTCTTGATGGAGTAGTGTTCCTCACCTATAAAAGTAGGGACACGTTCCTCTCAACAATGGATGGATGAGTCATTCAGTTGCCATGTCCGATGGCTCATTGATCCTCGAAGGGCATCACCCTACCTACCCTCAATAGGGAAACAAAATCATCTCATATTGTTCATGTCTATATCATAATGAAATAATATATTGAAACATCTCAATTTATCTTTCAAATATCATTAATGTCAAATAATATTAATTATCCCTAAGATGATTTGAACCCTAGCTTAATCGAACAAATTAAACTCGGTTTAACTATAACCTAGGTGAACCTATCTCTAATCATTATTTAACCGATTTGGAACTACCTTAGACTAGTATAATTTGGATCATATTGGGTTTAATTTTGGTTAAACAAATTTGAACAAGTCAAACTAGTTCGAAATTATCCTAAATCGATCTAATCAAATTTGATTTGGTTCAATCAATATACTGGTCATGTATATTGATTGAGCCAACCTATATACTGGTCATGTGCACTACACATAATTGTGCATGCACCATATCAGGTCGGACCAGCCCATAGCCCATGGATTGGTCAAGTGCACTGCACAAGACTACTCATGTTGGCTTGGGTTAAGCTAGTCTATTGGTTAGGCCTGGCCTGGGCCTAGTTTACAAGCATAGCTAACTTAAGGGTTAGGCGCTTAGCTTGATGATTGATTTCAACTTAAATTCTATCCAATTTTCTTAATTTTAAATTATGACATCATAAAATTATTATCAAAATATCCATTCATTAATATTGAGTCATTAAAATATAATAAATAGTAATAAATTAACAAAAATAAAATTTTATAAAAGAGAAAATACTATTTTCAATCAAACATCGTATAAATCTAATAAAAATCAAATATCATGCATTCAAGATAAAAATTTTAGAAAATACATATGACATGAATAATTGTAACATGTTTTAATTCTAAAATAAATTTTTAAACCTTTGAAAGTATAAAAAAAAATTTTAGAAACTTCATAGGACAAAAATAGTTGTAACATGTCTTATTCCAATAATAAAATTTTAGACTAGAAAAAAATTTTAGAAACTACATATAATATGAATAATTATAATATATTTTAATTCAAAAATAAAATTTTAGATATTTAAGAAAATAAAAAATCCTTATCTTACGATGTAATTTCTCGTTCCTTCCATCGGTAGATTGGCTTGGTGAGGAAAGGTGAACTCTCCATATAAAGTAAGATTTTTCTTTTTTATATTTATTTAATTTTATTATAAAAATGATATTATTGAATAATTATTTTCTAAATTATATTAACAAGAAAAAATAAAAAAAAAATACAAAGATTTTTTTTAATTTATATATTTATTTATTTTATTATAAAAATGATATCATTGAATAATTATTTTCTAAATTTTATTAACAAGAAAAAATAAAAAAATAAAATCTAAATTAAATATTTGATTACAATACAAATAAAGATTTAAATATTTTTTGAAGTTAACTTTTTGTGATTGTAATAAAATAGAATAGATTTAATAGATAAGTTACCAGTTCCTTGGCATCTGTGTCTCTTTTCTAATTACGGACGTCATCTCCTTGGGAAGTAATTATACCTGTCATTACTACTTGCTTGTATTTGTGGAAGCAATAATGACATTTAGATAGACAGCAAAGTGCAGTTGCAGGCACATTTTTTTAGTGGTACCTGCCACCGCACCGACGCCGATCCCCTCCATCGTATCCCGGACAGGTCAGAAATAAAGAACCCTCAACTCGACATACGATACAGCTAACGTCCTCGGGTGGCAGCTGAGCCACTCCTTTCCATTTAGGCATCAAATCCATCTCCCCTGTCGCTTCCAACCCCCTTCCGCTCCCCCTCCCCCCCCTTTCTCTTTATTTCCTCCCATCGATCTCACACCAACCCAACCTTCTCATTCTCTCTGTCGCTTCCCGCACGCCGCTTCCCTTCACAGGTTGCTCTCTCGGTCCAAGCAAAAAAGAATTCTTCTTTACCATTCAATCTCCTCATCTTAAATTTCGGTTTTCTTTTTAGTACTTGGCTGCTCCTCATTCTTGGATTTCGAGAAGGTTTAAGAAATTATTCATCTGTTTTTCCTCGATTTATTTGTTGTTTTTCTCTCCCGGCTTCTGCTTGATTCTTTTGATTATTGTTACTTTTATGCTCTTAATTTTTGGATTGAATTGCCTTTTCGTCGCCATATTTCACTCGATTTGTTGCTCGGATCTTGATTGGTTCTTTTGTGTTTCCATTTTTTGTTTGCTCATGTATTCATCACTTTCCTTTTGTATCCTCGGATTCGATTTGCTTTCTTGATTTTCCTCTGTTTATTGCTTGTTGATTGGGCCTTTCGGAGTCTGATTTGTGTGCCCGCAGCTGGGAATTTAATAGCATGGACGAGATCGTGGTGCGGAGAGTGATCCCCTCAGATAATAGCTGCCTCTTCAATGCTGTCGGGTGCGTTATTGGAACTCTTTTTTGCAATCTGTTGTAGATCTGCTAAAGGAAGCCATGCTTCTTCCGCAGGTACGTCATGGAACACGACAAAACCAAAGCTCCATATTTGAGACAGGTTTTCTTCTTCTTCTTCTTCCTTGCATCGAATTGCATTTTTTTTCTTGTGGATTTTTTTCTTTCTATGGTCATTTGAGTTGGATTTCTGTTTTATGATTGGTCATATTACTATCACGATGGCTTGTTATGACGACAGGAATTTACCATCAAGCTGGCAATGTCAACCCCTTTTCGCCAGCTTAATAGTCATCTGGATTGTGAAATCATGCTGACATTGTTATGAAGATAAGATTAAAGGAGACAACAAAAATGATATGTGCAAAGAGTACTTACCTCTATTGACCCTCCAAGTTCCTCTCTGGACGGTGGCGGAGAAGGCCTTAGTTCACCGCCTCTGATTTCCCTAATCAGAAATTAGACAGAACGAAACACAAGACAAAATCTTTTGAAGCAACTCAATTCGGATTCTTTCAAAAGTTAAAATCTTAAGAAAAATGGGCTGAAAAAGAACTAGGAATTGCATGAAAATCTGGTTCCTCAATCTATTCTTGAATATACAGCTCATGTGCCCTGCTGTAGCTTGACATTTGTTTCAACCCGAGGTTAAACCAACAAAATCCCTCATTGAATAGCATTCATCATCTGACTAAAAAGAGCAATGCTCGGTTATTGTGAAAAAAAACCAATGCCCAATTATTATTGTGTTTGCATACACATTGGAAGAATCTCCCATTAAAATCCACTTGCCTTTCTTTCCCTTCTTCACCTATTGAGTTATTTTTATTTTCATTAAAAAAGAACCCCATAGTTGCATGATCATAAAAAGGCAAGTCTTTGAAGCTTTTGACAACTCTAACATTTCAACCATATTTACAAGTCATAATTATGTATTTATATTTTTAGTGTGACATTTATATAATTTACAATGATTGGTGTCCTGTGTATTCTGTAACCACGCATATGCATACACAAATTTGGACTTCTATTTACACAAAATCCAAATAGATTCTTTACTGTTTGCAATCATCCATTCCTACAGATGATTATCCATGTTTGCAATCATCCATTCCTACAGATGATTATCCATAGACATGCCTATGTTAATATTACCGTTGTGTTCAAACATGTAATCTGTAGACATAGATGTAACCAGAATTGTGCTTCCATTCATGTATGCAACACATAAACATGCACTCTTTGCTGGATTTCATATTTGTCCATGTGGCGGAATCAGACTGTAATGCGGTCCAAACTAACATATTTGCTAATGCACAGCTTTCCTGTCTAAATGAATTTAATTGGGATATCCATTTTAGTAAATCATTACTACCTGATGCATCATATTATAACAATGAACCTAACTTGTCCATGCTTTTCTTTTTTTGTTCTTGGCTCATGGTTGTATAACAATTGTCTTCTCCTGTGTTGAAGGTTATAGCTGCAGTTGTGGCAAGTGATCCAGGAAAATATACTGAAGCTTTTTTGGGGAAGCCAAATAATGAATATTGTGCATGGATTCAGGATCCTGATAAATGGGGCGGTGAGTGCTCTGTGACTTTCTGCTAGAGAAGTACAGCAAAGTGCGAAATTTTAAAGATCCATTTACTTCTGTCATTCTGTTTTCTTGCATATTATGTCTTCATATCTTTGTTGGTGATTCGTGCCATTATTACTTCATTTAACACCGTAAGAAATACCACAGCTATGTTTATGAAGTAATCTGTTAGTACAATGTTGCACTAGGATCTGCATTATATGGTTTTACTGATTGTCTTGGATAAAACATGCAAATGTGGCCTTTAAGATCAATTTCCTTTATGCTTGATGAATTTTGTGCTAGCAAGGGTGTCGCATGCATGCAAAGGAGATTGGCTTATACAGGTCTTGAAGTTTTCTTTAAAAAAAAAAATTAAAAGATGGAGATTGGCTTCATTATCTATGAATTTTCTCCTTCTGAATTTTTTAGAATATAGCAGAGGGAGGGGACAAGGGTTTATGCACTGTTCAGACCGGTACATACCGATTGATATTCAAAAGAAGAATATCGTAGTCAGATGGTATTGATTATTGAGGCCATGTTTAGATGATTTTTGCCCTTAATTAGGCAACATCCATTCAATGTATTTGAGTACTAGTGTATGGAAGTTATTGCTTCTTGCAACTTTCTGGGACCCTGAACTTTTTTGTAATATGTGTTGTAGGTCTAGCTTTCTTTATTTGTTATCTTTATTTTGAAAAATTAGTTGATTTGAGGAAGGAGCTACGTGACAATCAGAGTTGGATTTGTTCTGTTTAAAGACACAATTACTTATTTAAGTACAATCTTAAGAGGGTACCATCAACCTCTTTGTTTCCTTACCTGAAGGCACAGAATGGGTTTGCTGTATTTTCTGATATTCTCTTTAGTCAGAATTTACTGCTTTGATGCACTAAGAATTGATTTATTGTCCACTTTGGCATATGATAGATAATTTGAAACTAGAAATACAAGATCTCATAGGTAGCCATATCCGATTTATTGATACATACTAGATATGAAAATTATCTGCACATTTCCATTCAAGTACTCCTTTCTCCATGTACTAATGGAGGTTGCCTTTTTTTTTTTGGTGACAATGTTACTTATATGCTTGGTTGTGAAACTTGCTTTCCTACCTATGATGTTAGAGGGGTTGGGATTGGATCAGATCATAAGATTCTACAAATTATAAAACAAATACAACATAAAAGAAATTTTTAGATTTTCTTAATTAAGATTTAGCTACTAAGTTTGCTTTAAGTTTTAAGTGTCCTACTGTCCTATATAGTAAAAAAAACAGCTGTTTTTTTACAGTTAATGAATATACAGGATTCTAATAGAAAAGATACTAGTGGACTTTACTCAAGCAAAAACAACATGTACTCAACATCATGTAGTCGAAGAAAGGAGTTGAGATAGGAAGAGGGGAGGAGAGGAGAAGAGATGGGAGAAGACGGAAGGAAAAGAAAGGAGAGGAGATGGGAAGAGAGGTAAGAGAGGGGGAAGAGAGAAGAGATGGGAGTCGCTTGGAGGAGAAGAACAGAGAGGAGATTGGAAGAGAGGCAGGAGAGGGGAGGAGAAACAGCACTTGTGATGATCAACAACATTGCATGGCTGGCGAGGTTGGCAGGCCGCACCACCCTCTCGACATGGGTGTGATCAGCGGTTAGGGCTCATCTCCTTAGGATTGCGGTGATCAATGACATAGAATGGCCATCGGTAAGCCTCTGATCGCGAGCAACAACATTGGTCAGGGCTTGTTGCATCGTCTCTCCTTTATTGAAGTCGTTTTGTCTTAATTGAGTTTTTGCTTTTTTCTTTTTTATGTAAAGTCAACTAAGTTGGCTCAGTAAACTCGAGCCGAGTTGTTCGAGTCGACTAGTCTTATTGAGTCAACTCTCAAGTCAGGTTGATTCCACCCTTTTTATGTTACAACATCCGACCTGACTTGTCAAGCCTAATCTGAGCTATATGATTTGCATTGTAAGATCACACGATCATAGGACCTATATTGCGAATTTAACAACCTTACTTACATATCTAAAACAAGCAAGTGGTCGATTGCAAAGATAACTTATAGGCATATTAAACAAGGTTAATCATATAATTGGGACATATGTGTTTTTAAGGAGCAATGGGTAACTTATGCTTACATAAAGATTAATGGATACTTAAGTCTTGAAGATTTTTAGAGAATCAACTGGCCAAAATATGCAATAATATCCTTATGATTTTGGGGGATTAGTTTCTGTTTATTCTGTGCAACTAGCCTTTTCCATTAACAGTGTTTATTACCTCTAGCCAGTAGATGTAGGTTTTTAATCTTTAACCAAAATCCGAAGTAAATAAACAAAAGGAAGTGTATCCTTCTTTGATTCCCTAAATATCTAGAAGGTCACTTGTTTAGAGCACCTTTATTATGGACTGTTTGAATCTGTGGGTTTGCCCATGGACTGGAACACGACATCCTCTCTTGTTGTACCATTAAATCTAAACTGTGTGGTCTATGGAGTAAACTTTCAGCTCTTTCGTACCTGTTCAAATGGCAGCTTCTTTGTTTTTTTTTTAATGTAGCTGTCAATTATGGATAACATACCTGTGATTCTCCCCAGTAGTGGAACATTGTGATGTACTATTCTATACCTATTTCCCACAGGTGCTATAGAGTTGTCTATTCTGTCAGAGTACTATGGTCGTGAAATTGCAGCTTATGATATACAAAGCACTCGATGTGATCTGTATGGTCAGGTTAGTATTTCATCATTGTGATCCTATGGATGCTGTTTTTTCTTTAGATTTATAAGTTGCCTTTTCTTCTTCTGTTGGATTGGGTAACAGGGGAAGTCTTACCAAGAAAGGGTCATGCTCATCTATGATGGTCTACATTATGATGCACTAGCTGTATGTGAACCTTGTGGAGGTCTCAGAAAAAAATATTTATCACGAAATAATTCATCATAGTCGATAAAAATTTTCTTGTGTTTATTCAATTTGTATTTTCCAGATGTCACCATTTGAAGGGGCACCTGAAGAGTTTGATCAGACCGTATTTTCTATAAGAAGTGACCGTTCCATTGGGCCCGTGGAGAACCTTTCTCTTAATCTTGTTAAGGATGCTCATAGGTAAGAGCTTATATCCATTTCCCAACTAAAAGCTGTTACTCGACAGTAGTATTGGAACATGAAGATCCTCAAGATTGTTGATGTTTTGGTTCACCATCATATTCCTGTTTGTTTTAGTTCCCTCAAATAGTTAGTGTGGAGTGAGCAAAAGAACTAATTTCTGGTATAATAAATGGTATACTCAAAATGAAATGTATTTCACAGTAGATTAATTTGTTTTAGTTGATGCCCGTGACATGTAGTTGGGATACTGGTGTCTCCAATTGTTCAATATCAGAGGTTGATTGTGACCTCACAGATTTTCTAGATGCTTCGGCAATATATTTCAGGATGCTGCCAAGTATCTGTTTTTGATATGCATTGTCTTTTTCTGTCTTCTAGGAAGAGAAGTTACACAGACACTGCCAATTTTACATTACGCTGTGGAGTATGCCAAGTTGGTTTGACCGGCCAGAAGGTTACTATCGATTCAAGATCTGTTTTGCTATCTTTGTTGTACGAATGCCTTTTTGTCTTATTTCTAACCTGTTGTCTTGGATTATCTAGGAGGCGATCGCACATGCTCAAGCTACAGGCCACGTTAATTTTCAAGAATATAGGTAAATGATGAAGCTTGTGTGACGAGTTTCTGTCAGCTTATTCCTTGGGTCATCTCATTACTTCCAACTCATACTGGCGTCTGAGGAGTAAGAAGTCAAATTATTGGACTGAATTTGCTGTCATGATGATCAGATGGAATTTGATCTTTGTTGTAAACTAATATATATGTGAATTTCTTGTTTAACATCTTTGTGCCTTGTTCTAAAGACAGTACAGCAACCAATTGATTCATGGCAATATTGTTACATGTCTTCATCTCTGGATTGTGCAGTAACCATTGGCTTTGAGTTGACATTAGGTAGGTCTTTCAGAACTCTTTCTAGTGTGTATGGTTTTGCTTTGGAATATATTGGTGTCTTCAGCTCTGGATTGTGCAGTTTCCTTCAAGTTGGCATTTGAAATTATTGCAGTGAAGTGTGGTTTTGTGTAGAATAATTTATTGATGTCTTTTATATGCTACTTAGATGATCATCACCCTAGCGTGGAATGACCGTTGACTTTTAAGTTGAAATTAGAGGTAATAAATACCGTGTGTGGATGTTTGTATGATTACTGCTTTGGCATACTTCTTGTATCGTTCGTTCGATAAACATAATATGATTCTAGGCATATCCGTTTTTTCCTTTTTCAAATATCATCGTTATATGTTAATTCTATTTATAAAATAACAAAAAAGAACTTATTCATCAATTTTTTTTTTACAGGGCAGAATTTCTAAAATATTTAAAAAAAAATTCATCGAATCAAATGCATAATAATAATAATAATGTTGGACTTCGAATCAAATTATTTCATCTTGGATAATAATAAAAAGTATTAAGATAAAAAAAATTAAAACTAAAACTGTTGTTTCATAAATAAAAATACTATTTCATGTTGGATAATAATAAAACTATCAGAATAATGATGAGGTGTTGTTGTCATCTCCATGGCGTCCGATGTCATCTATCCCGTTTTCTTCTTAGATCGTTCGGCTGATCGATTCGTGTGGAGGCGACACTCTCCGCGTCTTCTATTACGCGAGCTGTGAAGGGGAACTCGTCCACCGACACTGGAAATTCCATTAAGAACATTTTAATCAGCACAAAATATGATCATCATCTCATCTATAGGAAAATGGAGTCGTAGGGTTAACTAAATCGATGGTGAGAGAGAAACATTTCTTACTTCTTTAGTTTTCTAGCTAAAGAAAACTAGACAAAATGTCCCTTTTATGGCACTCTCGTCTTCAAATCCCACCCTCACACGCATGCCGTCACTGCGATTTCTCGAATCTTCATTGCAGGTTAAAACTTTTCTCTCTCTCTCTCTCTCCGAGTGCAGAAAAGACACTCCTTTTCACTTCATTTCAGTAAAAACCCTTCCTTTATCGCCGTTACTGTTCCCTTGCTAGAAAAAGGGACAACTTTCGGGTAAAAAGGAACGAGCTTCATGTTTGGAACGTGAGGGCCAGGTTTTCAAACTGTTTCTGTCTTGATTGATTCCTTCATCAGTACCGTCTGACACTCCGGTGGCTGGATTTGCCTTGGATCATGGATTGTGGTGGCGTACTGTGGTTCTTGCTCCTTCTCGCTACTGGATTCGGTGTTTTTGCGGGTGCTGAGCGGCCTGCTGTTGTGAATATTGGAGCTGTGTTAACCTATGATTCCGTCATCGGTAGAGTTGCAAAGGCCGCGATCGAAGCTGCTGTCGCCGATGTCAATGCGAATGCGTCGGTTCTCGGGGGGACGCGGTTGAATCTCGTTATGCGAGATGCAAATTGTAGCGTTTTTCTTGGATCTGCTGCAGGTAATGTGGTTTCTTGCACATGTTTCTTTTGTGTTTCCACTTGATGATGCTCCGATGGGAGGGTTTATGCTGCCAATCTCAAATAGCTGGAACGAGGTTTGATCTTTTGTGATTAGGCACCAAGAATTATTCTTTTTTCCTTTTTCTTCTTGATGCATAATCATTAAAGACCAAATCTTATTATAGTTCCTCGAGACTTTTATCTTCTTTTTCTCATGGTCCGATTTCTCCTTTCAACAAAAAGAAATCTGGAATTGCAACAACCAAATTCACTGTTAATTGGTCAACCATATGTTCTTGATTCACTTAGATTCCTTACATGTAAAGTTTTCTATTAGCATGATGGATGATGGATATCCATATCGATCACGCAAGATGGCCTGAACTTATTGAACGAGTCCTTGTAGATCTTCATGTAAATTTCCGGCTTTACATGTCCCCATTTTTGTTGCAACTCACTAGAGAAACAAATTATTGGCCTCGCACCAACACAACATAGATGATCGAGAAAAATAATGGCGATGAGCATTTGGGATTGGTTTCAGTTATCACATGAAATCATTATTTGTTGGCACTGATTGATAAATTTGTAATATCAAGGGAATTACTTCATCAAGATGTATTGCATGTATTTGGTATATATGGAAAAGTTGTATGTCTGTTTGCAAGTACAAAAGAGGTAACAGTTAAATGCTCATTTTACGGTGAAAGAAAAGTGAGGCACAATTACTTCATCAATAGAACTGTCTGATCTGTCTTATAGAAGTAATGATGTTATATGTCAAATCATTTGCATTGGGTTTTCGTTTGATTCTTTCAGTACATAACTTTTTTTCTTAACCAAGAGATGGTTACCTTTCTCGGAGCCATGGCTATTCCACTTGGTTCTTTTTAAAAAAATTTTAACCATTTTCATCTCCTGCAGCCTTGAGTGTTCTGGAGCATGATGCAATTGCCCTAATTGGACCGCAATCCTCTGCAATAGCTCACATGATTTCATCTATTTCTGGTGGACTTCAAATACCACTCATATCTTTTGCAGCTACAGATCCGACTCTTTCTTCTTCTCAATTTCCCTTCTTTGTTCGCACGACACACTGTGATTCCTATCAGATGGCAGCGATGGCAGATCTAATAGAATATTTTGGATGGAGACAAGTCATTGCAATTTATGTAGATGATGATTACGGAAGGAACGGGATATACTATCTTGATGACGAGCTTGCAGAGAACATGTCAAAGATGTATAAGATTGCGTTGCCAGTCAAAGCTACTCGGAATAAGCTTATAGATTTGCTGCAGAAGTCGAAGACATTAGGTCCACGAGTCTATGTGGTGCATGCTACCCCAGACGCTGGTCTTAATATATTTTCTGTTGCTGAGCAGCTTCATATGATGACTGATGGATACGTTTGGCTGGCTACAGATTGGCTTTCTACTGTTCTTGATACATCTCAAACAGTCGCTTCTAATTCTATAAGTTATTTGCAAGGAGTAGTGAGTTTTCGTCAATACATTCCTCGCTCAAACCAAAAAGAAGCTTTTGTGTCTAGATGGGGTGAATTACAAAAAGAGGGGTTGGTGAGCTTAAACTTGAGTACATATGGCTTCTTTGCATATGATACAGTTTGGGCCACTGCCCATGCTATCAATGACTTCCTTAATGAGTATGAGAACATCACTTTTTCGTCTAACAGTAACCTACAGAGTATAAAGGGAAAGATGCGGCTGGGAATGCTTAAAACTTTTGATGGAGGGCACCTACTAATTAAAAAATTGTTACTCTTGAATTTTACTGGTTTATCTGGTCAAATTCAGTTTGATGGTGATAAAAACCTCATTAGCCGCATGTATGAAATTGTTAATGTTCGTGGTTCAGTGACTAATAGAGTTGGCTACTGGTCTAACCATTCAGGTCTCTCCATCTCTTTACCTGAAAATTTACTCATAAACAGGCCAAAAAATTTGAGCTTCACCCAGGTTCTTGGGAGAATAACTTGGCCAGGTGGGAAGACGGAAACTCCACGTGGTTGGGTGGTGGCAAGTAATGAGAGGCCACTGAGAATAGCAGTTCCTAATAGAGCCAGTTATCTGGAGTTTGTAAGAGTAACAAACGGCGGAGATATGGAGAATGTTAGTGGATATTGCATTGATGTGTTCAAAGAGATAATGAAACTGATTCCTTATGAGGTGCCATATAAGTTTGTGCCTATTGGAAATGGTCAGACCAATCCAAATTATGATGAGCTTGTGAACATGGTTGTGCAACATGTAATTCCTAATCAGCAACCTCTTTTATTGAGTTAAAACTAGTAGGTTATATCTTTTGGTTTCCTTTATTGCTTACATTTACACTGAAATATATTTTAGGTTGTTGATGCAGCCATTGGAGATATCGCAATAGTCACAAGTCGGAGTAGAAACTCAGATTTTACTCAGCCGTACATCTGTACTGGCCTTGTCATATTGGCTCCAATCAGAAGTATAAAGTCAAGTGCTTGGGTTTTTCTCAGGCCGTTTACTGTTGGAATGTGGTGCGTGACTGGAGCATTCTTTTTTGTCGTTGGGGTGGTTATTTGGCTACTTGAGCACAGGGTAAATAGTGATTTCAGGGGCCCACCAACGCGGCAGTGCATAACTATGTTTCTGTAAGCCTTGTTTAGAAACTTTGATTTCGACTTTTAGATTAAGCTTGGATCTGATTTCTACTTATTGAGTTAGCACTTCTAGTAATTCAGCAAGTTCTTCTTTCTTGAATTCTGGTATATGTCTGATTTTGTCTGGCTATATGTGGACATGTATAAGACATCATAAAATCTTTGAAAGGTCTTTCTTTACAATCTAGTTTTGCAGCTATTTATGGTTGTTAACTAAGAGTTTCTGATTTTTAAAACCTCGACAAACACAACATTTTGCAGAAAGTTGATGGCAATGAATCACAATATAACCTTATTCATTGTTTTCAAGGAAAATCATTCCTTTTTTGTTCCTCGTTCTTCATTTTATCTTACGCTATGAAGATTAAGATGCAAGTAAATTACTAAATTAGGAGGACAAGAACAGTGTCAAGAAGAATGCATTTGCTTTTGTAAGGACATAAGCCAGTAGGATCAGAGCAGACTACATGGATGAGACTCTTTCTACAAGCTTAAACACATAAGGATTAGTAGTTGTTGGATTTGGTGAGTCCATGAGCTATTTTAGTTTGTCCTTTCATATATTTTTAAATGTCCATTAGGACTTATGGATACTCCAAAGCATTTTTACTTGCCACTGGCTATTATTGGATGAAGTTTAAACTGATAAGGCTGATAAGGAGCTCATGAATTTGTCTATCTATTGTACTTGACAGACAACAGTGCAATGTGAATCCTGTTTGACTATATCTATTGTGCTTGACAAACATTATGACTTTGTTGTTGTTTGTTTTTGTTGGCTATATCTGTCCTTGTTAAATATAATTCTTACAAACAACCATCAAGGTTTTTAAGTACCAGTTAGTTGTATTGTCTGAGGGCTATTATGTTCTAATGCTATGGACAATACAGCTCAGTTTTTATTATTAAGTAGATCTAATAATTAAAAATTACTAAATCAACTTTTAATCAGGTTGTTGGAAATAATCTTGGTTGAACCTTACTATCAAGGAACCTTATGTTTGACCCAATGTGTCGGTACATTTGATGACAAGTTCTAGTTGAGATGCTCACTACTGGTTATAAAGTTCGACTTTGGTTGGAATACATCATTTCTATTTAAGAAAACAAATTCTTGTTTCTCAATGTTTTTCAAAAGTACGGCCTTCTAGTTTATTCGGATTTTCCTGCGCAATCAAGTTATAAAAACTTTGTATTTCGGAGATTTGTTCTAGTCATTTGAGGTCCTACTTTAGGACAAATAACATTAAAAAAACCTATAATCTTATTTTATTTGGAAAATTTTAAAGATCTTCATAATTTATTAAAGCATGCTATATTCCAATATTCTGATCCCAAGTATATATCTATATGATGTTTTATGCCCATTTTATTTTTTGAGTACCCTGACATGCATGCCAGCAAAACTTGGTCAGAGAAGTTCATGACTCAAAATTGATCACCAGCCTTGACTAGCTTTTTCTTGATTCATATTGGAATTTAAATGTTCATGGCTTATGACTGACATATTTAATTAACTTGCATATTTTTTACAGGTTTAGTTTCTCAACACCTTTCCAGTCACAGCGTAAGTGATTTCTGAATGTGATTCATGGTGTATAAATACTAGTCATCATTCTTGATGCTTAAAACCTATCACAAATAGTGGATGCAAACTAATATTTTACAAATTTTGTTCCAGAAGAAGAAATTTTGAGCACACTTGGACGATTTGTTATGATGGTATGGCTATTTCTACTGATGGTGATAACGTCAAGCTACACTGCAAGTTTAACTTCATTTCTTACTGTCCAAAAACTTTCATCTCCAATAAAAGGAATTGACAGTTTAATTGCTAGTAATGAACCTATTGGTTACCAAGAAGGATCTTTTGCCCGAAGCTACCTTGTAGATGGACTTAATGTACAACCATCAAGGCTTGTTTCACTTGGTTCTCCCGAAGCTTACAAAGAAGCACTAGAACGTGGGCCAGAAAATGGAGGTGTGGCAGCAATTGTAGATGAGCTTCCATATGTTGAGTTGTTTGTAGCAAAAACAAGTGGATTTGGCATCATAGGGCAGTCCTTCACGAGGAATGGATGGGGATTTGTAAGTAAACTCTTTCAAGCACACAAACACAAAATAGTGAATGCATATGAAATGAAATTTTCTTGATGAATACTTAGTTTTTTTTTTTGTTTTCAAATTTCAAGAACCATGTTTCTGAATGATTTTGTTGCAAGAAATTTTATCATATTCTTCTTTTGTATAGAAGGGAGTAAAAAATTGCTTCCTTCATTTCTTTTTGATAAATAAAAATAAGATGATGACAAACATTTTCACTAGCATGCTAAATTTAAATTATAATGAAATTAAATATTATATTGGTTACTGAAAATTTCCAACCAAACTTTGCAGTTGATCAACAATAGTCATTTCATTTATAGGGTAAAATTTTTGAGTCTTGATTTCTTTTTATATCTGTTTTTTGAATCCAATCCAGTAATAAATTAAATAAAACATCCATGTCACTCAGTTTGTAATCTTAGGTTTAATTTATAGCTTATCCACCATGGCTATAAATATTTTAATATTTTATAAAATGGCCTTCAGCAAATATTTTAAACATGAGATCTCTTCCTTTTAAATTTAAGTTGTTGTGTGTCAGAAATTTTGTTATGCCACTCTTCAGAAACAAATTAATTCACTTTTGTAATTCATAATAAAGATACCTGCGTCTTTCATCATCAAAATTTAGACATCCCTGCTTCCCTGATTTACTTTCCAATATTAGGTACTGTGTTGTTCTATTTTTTGTGAGAATTGTTTACAAAATATTTCAAAGCAAATTTCAACCGCACATTATATCACACTTTCCTCAAGTAATTCATCCAACACATTTATAGTTTAGTATTATTTTACTGTGTTTTTAGTTTTATTCTAATCATGAAGATCATATACATGTTTTGTTCTTTTCATGGTATGAACAGTACAATATTTGTGTACTATTTGTTTATTCTACCAGTGTTTAGTATTTGTTGGGACGGCACTGTTCCCTGTCTCCCTCCACTATATGCAATTTCAGGCTCTTCCCCTGCTTATGATTCTTTCTGTGCCCACAGAGAGAGCCCACCAATGTTTTCTGTTGATCATCTTTTCTGTTCAGTTAGCAAAGAATTGGCTATTTCTTAAGGTTGTCTTTTGTCATTGTCATCCCACCAGTCTACTACCTGATTGCTGACTTGACACTTCTTGTGAATGATTAAATTACACTTCATTGATATGATTCATAAAAAAGATGAAATGATTCTTTGAATCAGAAATGTCTCCAATTTATAGCAGATTGTTCCAGTGAATCTTGTGATGCTTGTTTGGGTTGTTCTCTGCCATCATGACATTGCTTTCCTTTGTTTTATGATATTAGGCATTTCCAAGAGATTCTCCCCTTGCGATAGATATGTCAACAGCTATGCTCAAGCTCTCTGAGAATGGGGAACTGCAGAGGATTCACAAAAAGTGGTTTTGCAACACAAGCTGCATCGTTCAGAGTGGCATAAACTCTGAGCCTGACCAGCTTCACTTCAACAGCTTTTGGGGGTTATTTCTGGTCTGTGGTGTTGCTACTGTTGCATCTCTCATCTTGTTTTTTCTAAGGTCAATCTGGCAGTTTATTCGCTTCAATAGGAAGCACAGAGAGCCTGCATCCACCTGTGAGCTACCAAACAGGGGCTGTACTCAAGTCATTTTTCGCTTCTTTGATTTCATTGACAAGAAAGAAGAAGCCATTAAGAACGCGTTCAAGCAGAGGAACACGTCTCTTCCAGAAAGTAGCTGATTCCTCACCGAACTTTTTGTGTAAGTAGACCTACGGAGAAGGTTGTTGTGCATTGGTCATTATGTGGGCCTTTATGATGGCTTCTTTATCAGACTTCATATATCCTAAACAGTTTTCATCCGTATATCACTTAATAATCTATATTCATGAAGCATCCCTTGCTTTACTATTTGCATGATGCGTTGGCTTTAGCATTCTCAATAGTCCTTTTAGTTTATGCCAGGATATTCTAGATCACTTTGTGTGAGCAAAAATTTCTTATCCTGTCTATTCGAAGCTGTATTTTGTAAACTAGAGCAATATATCGCAACATGACAATGTTTCTTTGCATGAGGGTCGACCTTGGTGTCTGTTCCTTCATGAAAACAGCTTCTCTGCTTTGCAGGTTAACATTACATACATTGACACTTAACGAAACCCTGCATCGCCGGGAGCTTTGTGCACTGTGTGTGGACAGAGCCTCTTGGCAAGTTGGTTCTTGAATCAGCTTTTTGAAGTCTGAGGATTACTTCCAGTTCTTTTGGAGAAACTTAACATACTCTTTTGTGGTGCAGGTCGTAGGTGGGCATTGCTTTCACGGGGCGATTCCATGCGAATCACTTCTCTCCAAAGCCAATCTGATTGGATTCTTCGGTAGGTGGAAGCTGTTGTGATCACTTGTTCTCGGAGAGGCAGATGTGAACTCATGAGCCCACCATCTGTCTCCGTCCAATCTCCTTGTCGTCGATGTCGATATCATGAAAGAACCATTCTACTTGTTTGCAGATTCCATGCCTAGTGGCCTTAGTGGCACACACTTATTGTTGGGTTGGTTTCTCAAAGAATATATGCTTCATGAGACGACAGTCTACTAGATGAAGTCAAATGTAGTCTTCTTCACTAGATCATGTCTGTTACCTTTAGATTTATCTATTTGTGAGCTGATATGATGCTGATGTGATATGCTCATATTGTGATGACATGATGCTGATGTGGCACACTGAGTAATCTGCAAGAATAACACCACCTTCTCATATTCTCTGTCGCTCTCTTCTCTTCTACTCATCAAGAGAAAACAGTCACTTGTCCCTCTCACCCATTAGTTTGGCTGAATCGTTTGCTACAACAAATGAGCATGTTTTGCTGTGTCTTGCAATGAGATATATATATATATATATAATATGATAAACTATATTGAGTTAGTGAATCAATAAGCCACAGCAAGCAATAAACTATATTGGTTGTGAGTAGTAGAATTATTTGATTAATAATACATCGATATAATTCTTTTTTGTTTCGGCCTGCATGATGATTGCAGTATATATTTATAGTCCACATGGTTTAAGTGACGAGCATCTCAGATGATTCCTTTCCACTCCCACTCTAAATGCTTTATTATCACTACAGAATCCAAATCAACCACCGCAGTGGCAGTTGTTTTCTGCCTCCATTTTGGTATGAGAACATTCCATGCTTCTTGGAGACATCTTAATTACTCGGATGTATTCTCGAAACTGGTTCGAAAGAAGGTGGACATCGAGTGCAGCACAGATTCCTCGAGATGACAAAAAAATGGGCTTCCCATCCAGCTTACCGATGTCTTTTAACCTCGTTGATTCACCATTGACCGATGAGAAGAACCACTCACGCCTAACACAGTAAGCTGGGAATTCCAAGTGAATGCTTTGACGGCGACATGAGACGTTCCGATCAAGCTTTCTCCTCCAAACATTACGTTCGGGAAGATAACCTTCTTCTCCCTTTCATGGTTTGCCATGCCACACACATCACAGGAATAACCCCAATCTCCGAGTCCAAGGCACTGACTGAATCGATTCCATGCGATTCTGCAAGCAGCGCAATCTTCCGATATCTTCGAGAAAGAAAAACAGTTCTTTTCCTGTTCTCCAAGCTTATAAAGGGATTCTCCCACTGCAGAGGCGGCATGCAATCCTTTCCTTCCCATTAGGTTTTTTTTCTTTTGGCAAAAGGAGGTTTCAGATCTCTTTCTGCTTTCTCATCTCACAAACATTTCCTGTCTCCAATCTTTTCTTTTAGCTGATTTCTGCTGCATAAAAATTTCATTTCAGAGAAGCAACTCTTTCGGGGGATACTTTCGCATGCTGTGTCCAAGACGATGGCCAGCATGTCTCCGCTGTTCATGATATGGTTCTTGGTTGGCCTTAGTGGCGCGGTGGGTGAGCTTGGCGATGGAACCACCAAGCCTGGCATGGTGAATGTGGGTGTTCTTTTCACCTTTAATTCTACCATCGGAAGGGCAGCCATGGTTGGGATCCAGCTAGCAATAGAAGACGTCAATGCAGACTCCACGATCCTTGCAGGGACCCAGCTGAATGTGATCGCACAGGACACAAACTGCAGCGGCTTTGTTGGAACAATCGAAGGTGAAGAATCGAGGACTTGAGCTTTTAATAAGATTGTTTCTGAATTAACTATACATTAATGCTGGATTTCTTATTAAGAGTATCACATTCTAAAGATTGAGTAAGATCATAAGACTCAGAGAGATGATCAGTTTTGTTTTGGCGAATAATCCAGCTCGAACAATGAGCCTATTCTTCTGTTTCTGAGGTCTTACCTTCAAAAGGGAAGCTCCATCAACTTTAGGATTCGTCACCACTCCATCACAATCTGTGGCTATTTCTGTTCTTTGAGGCTGTTTGTTTCTCTTGGTTTCCATCAAGTTCTGCACTGGCCTTCTCCTCCTCCACTGTTCTTCTATGAGCATCTCAAATCTTGTTCCAAGGCACAGTTGAGCTGAGTCTCTTGCTTTAGTTGCATTGTTCTAGCAAGACTAAACTATCGAACACCAATCCAACTGATGGAGAGATTGCATTGTCCTGATTTCTGACTTCCGATGAAGTCCCATGATCTTAAGGATGTAGCTAAGTTTGTTCCTTCTCCTTCAATCTTCTTCTATGATCATCTCAAAGCTTGTTTTAAGGCACCACACGGATCAGTTCAGCTTTACTTCCACTGTTCCATTGCAGCCTTACGACTGATGGAGAAGAAGGTGGTGGCAGTCGTCGGTCCGCAGTCCTCCGGCATCGGCCATGTCATCTCCCACGTCGTCACCGAGCTCCATGTCCCTCTCTTATCCTTCGCCGCCACCGATCCAACCCTCTCCCCACTGGAGCACCCCTACTTCATCCGAACAACTCACAGCGACTACTTCCAGATGAACGCCATCGCCGACCTCGTCGAACACTTCGGCTGGCGAGAGGTGACCGCCATCTTCGTCGACGACGACTACGGCAGGGGCGGCGTGATAGCACTCGGCGACGCGCTCGCCAAGAAGCGTTCCAGGATCTCATACAAAGCTGGCTTCCCTCCCAACGCTGGCCCGACCGCGATCAATGACTTGCTGGTGAGAGCCAATCTCATGGAGTCTCGCGTCTTCGTCGTGCATGTCAACCCTGACACCGGCATGAACGTCTTCTCCCTCGCCAAGAATATGGGGATGATGGCCACCGGATACGTGTGGATCGCCACAGATTGGCTTGCTTCCACTCTGGATTCGGTCGTGCAACCAGATCCCAACGCCATGAGCCTCCTCCAAGGCGCCATTGTTCTTCGCCACCACACACCGGATTCAGCTTCCAAGAGGCGATTCACAGCTCGGTGGAACGCCATGATTCGCGCAGGAAACGCTTCGTCCGGCTTGAACAGCTACGGCCTCTACGCTTACGATTCACTCTGGGTGGTTGCTCGTGCCATCGATCGATTTCTAAGTGCAGGAAACACCATCAACTTCTCTGCAGATCCTCGCTTGCACGAAGCCAATGGCAGCACTCTGCACTTGTCGACGCTGCGTATTTTCGACGGAGGCGAAAGCTTGCTTCAGCAGCTGCTGCTCACAAACTTCACCGGATTGACAGGCCAAATCGAGTTCGATTCGGAGAGAAATCTCATCCGACCATCTTATGACATCCTCAACATAGGAGGTGGACCTCGATTGATCGGATACTGGTCCAATTACTCTGGTCTCTCGGTTATTGCTCCTGAGATCTTATACCAGCAGCCACCGAACACTTCCACCACGAGCCAGCAGCAGCTTTTCGGCGTCGTGTGGCCCGGCGAAACGACGGCGCCGCCGCGTGGTTGGGTGTTCCCCAACGATGGCAAGCCTCTCAGGATCGGAGTTCCGAACCGAGCGAGCTTCAAGGAGTTCGTGACCAACAGTTCCAACTCCGACGATCTCGGTGGCTTCTGCATCGATGTGTTCAATGCTGCAATCAAGCTGCTGCCTTACCCGGTTCCTTGCTCGTTTGTGCTGATCGGAGACGGTTCTAGGAATCCAAATTACGACGAAATCGTCAACATGGTCGCTCGAAATGTGAGTGCTTCTCATATCGTATAGCTATCACTTGTTTGCTCTTGTCGATGCAGACTCCGGTTGTCCGAGGTGTCGGATCGTGGATCTAATATCGAGTCTCCTAAGTTTGCCGTAAGCTCGGCGTCAAGAGATGCAAAACCATGTCCGATGGAAGCCCAGCGCCCAAGTTAGAGTCGGAAAAGTAGCAAAGGAATGTAGTGTAATCGGAGCCTTTTGTAGTTATCCATCCATCCGAGATCGTCGGGCATTAATTACTCGGACAGACACAAAGGATCGTCCGAATCATCTCTCCCTCTTAAGCCAATCTAATGCATTCTTGGTTGTTCTCTCTTTAGGAGCTCGATGCTGCCGTAGGAGACATTGCAATCGTGAGGAACAGAATCAAGATCGTGGATTTCACGCAGCCATACACCGAATCAGGACTCGTTATAGTCACTCGAGTTCGGGGGAGCAGCTCAAGTGCCTGGGCCTTCCTGAAGCCATTCACGTTGGAGATGTGGTGCGCCACCGGAGCTTTCTTCCTCGTTGTGGGTGCAGCCGTTTGGATTCTCGAGCACAGAGAGAACCCCGAGTTCCGCGGCACTCCGAAACAACAGATCGCAACCATGTTCTGGTGAGTGTAGTCTGCTGCTTCGAGCATGCATGCCCGTCATAAGATCGATTCCTCTTCTGAATCGTGATCTACGTTGGATTGTATCTGTCCCTGCGTGGCTATGAACCGATCCAGAGCTTGCTTCTCTTCGGCGGTATCATGATGAAACATCATTAGGTGACGATTCCATCACGCCAGCAAGCATGAAAACACTCGCTGAATCTGCTTCATGCTGTTCTTACAGCTTAAATCAGTCGATAAATCTTGCTCCTATGAATTGACTCGTACTACCATCTCCAATCTTGCAGGTTTAGCTTTTCGACGATGTTTTTCGTGCACAGTAAGTGAGCTTAACTCTGTATCCGATCATCGTTTTATGTTCTTCTGCTCCATCTGGATTCCATCTTTTTGTCTCGGAATTCAACTAATTTTGTCTGAAAATTGTGCAGGAGAGAACACGGTGAGCACACTCGGGCGATTCGTGCTGATCGTGTGGCTGTTTGTGGTCCTAATCATTAACTCAAGCTACACAGCCAGCTTAACGTCGATCCTCACAGTTCAGCAGCTGTCTTCGGGGATTACAGGCCTCGACAGCCTTCTCTCAACCTCCGACCCAATTGGCTACCAGGAGGGGAAGTTTGCAAGAAACTACATGATAGAGGATCTCAACATTCCGGAATCCAGGCTGAAGCCATTGAACTCCCCTGAAGAGTATGCTAAAGCTCTCGAGCTTGGACCGAAAGGTGGTGGCGTCGCAGCCATAGTCGATGAGATTCCTTACGTTGAGATCTTGCTCTCCGTCTACTGCCACTTCAGAATAGTGGGTCCAGAATTCACCAAAAATGGATGGGGATTCGTAAGCATCATGATTTATGATTTATCAGCACCATTTCAGTTCTCATCAATATGAATTCTTCAAGTTTAGCTGCATTAAATGTCCTCCGTTCTCATTCTCATCGTATGAACTTCTGAACCCAGCCTTAAGAACTCATTTTGTAGATTTCTCTTGATAATTTGTGATTTAGCTTCATTTTCTGATACCAGAGTTTGGATGAGAACTGTTCATCAGCACCGTTACAATTCTGATCATATGAATTCTTCGAGTTGAGCTGCAAATAAATGTTCACCATTCTCATATCAGAATATAAACATGACATCTCCAAGTGACGAACTTGCAAACTGCATCTCATCTTAGGGACTCATTTTGTAGATTTCTACTCACAATTCGTCATGTTAGCTTAATTTTCTGCTGCCAAAATCACTCTCTTGTATTTATTGTCTTCGCTCTGTAAACATCTAACATGGACTTGGAACTTCATCATCGAACACAGGCATTCCAGAGAGACTCTCCTCTTGCAGTTGACTTGTCTACTGCAATCCTGACACTGTCCGAGAACGGTGATCTCCAAAGAATCCATGACAAGTGGCTATCGCGAACTGAATGTTCTTCGCAAGATACCGACCTAGAAGCCAACCGGCTAAGTCTCAGTAGCTTCTGGGGTCTCTTCCTCCTCTCCGGCATCGTGTGCGTTCTTGCTCTCATCGTCTACATCATCAAGACAAGCTGTCAGTACAGCAAGTTTAGCAGCACAGAGGCTGGCAAATCCAAGGAAAATGTCGAGGTAAGCAGCAACCGAAAGGATCCCAAACTTAGCAAGTTAAAGAGCTTCAAGAACTTGATGCACTTCGTCGATACCAAGGAAGAAGAGATTGATAACGTGATCAAGAGGAGACTGAGTGACAAACAACAACAACAAGGTGCTTCTACTTCAGATAATGGGCCTTCTACGTCACATGCATAGAAGTTGGTATTGAGATGTAGCTATCTCTTGCTAAGTTGCAATGGTTGTCCAAGTAATAGCTAGTTTCTTGCAGAAAGGAGCTTTTGTTGTAATATGATTTGCAACTTCTACAGAAAAGAATGATATTGTTATTCTGATGAAAAGAGTGTCACCTGGAAGTTCTGAGATCGAGTTAGGAACAATTACCTCAGAATTTGCATCTCCTCTCGCTCGGAACTCTATCTTGGCAAAGTAAAAAGGTTTGGCTTTTCATGATTGATGGCAAGTGGAGCTTCTTTTGGTGATCACAGATCACAGTCTCTGTTCACTGGCTGAACCTGATATCAGCAATGAACAGAGATTTTATATATATATATATATATATATATATATATATATATATATATATATATATATATCGAACGGTATATCGCTCGGTATACAATATCGTATTGTATCGAGCGAATATCGAAACTTTAGTACGGTACGATATTTCAATCCTTGCCTTACATCATGCCTACAGTTGCTACAAACTTGCTCCTATTTTTGTTGGAACTGTTTAAACTCTCAATCATGACCATCCTAGATTCAAATGGTTCGCAACGATCGCTACCCTGCGATACCGCTACACGCGGGGTGAGGGCATCAAGAGCAACAATAGTTGTTGCCTTTTCTCGCTTTTGTGTCAACGATTTTAATATCAAAAGCTTCTCCAAAACATAACACATGCAGTTCAAACCTAATTTTTGCACGAACAACCTAGCTCTGATACCATTATTGGGAAATCTTGGGGGCGACATCATATACGCAGCGGAAGAACAGAAAATAAAATCCTCAATTTCCAAAGATATGTTCGTCATCGTGCGAAGATTGGTACGCAAAAATTCGCGAAATAGAAAACCACATGTGAGATACATTGTGTTACTTAGGGAGATCATATATCCTTGAATCTCTGCATATCTCTAGGAAAGGGTGAAAGAGGTCAAGCGCCCCCCTCTCTAGAGGTGATTCACACAACAGGATTGTGATGATGCTCCTCAAAACTCCAGACCTGTTCTGAGATGGAGAAGGGAGGAGAATAGAAGAAACAATAAAAAAACACTAGCCTATGAACCACTAGTTCTCTTACATTCAACAGATGGTTCACATATAAATTGATCTAATGAAATTTGATCACAATTTCTTAGATAGAAATAGTGCAGGCTAGAAGAAAAAGTCTCAACTAATTTGATCCTTATTTTGTTTCAATAATCTAGTGTACCATATCAGTTGCCAATTTTTGATGGGCCTGCCACCTTCATGTTAGGTACTGGTCTTAGCAATAAGAGATGATAGACACTGGGCCTAACAATAAGAGATGAGAACAAAGGAGAAAGATAAGAACTTTGTTCCAACTTCAAGACTTCATTGCACAATCTCTGAAAGCAATCATTGAAGGTAACAGCTTTATTAATTTGTAGTAAAATAATAACTAGGATATGCAATCAATGATAAATACACTTGATCATGAAGAAATTTTTATTTCATAACTCCCATGGAGCTAGACATAATCCATGAATCAATTTCAAGATCAAGACCCAAACATAATACAGAGATATGACATTCAGCTCCTTCAGGTCTGATTCCTTCCTGAAATAAATAATGAACTGGATAAGAATCTTTATTGGAGGAATTGGAAAGAAATCAATAACCTAATTTTAAAAATAACTGATCGTGAACTAATCTGTAAATTAACTGCATACGATAAGCAACATAAAACTTTGTTATATAGTTAGCATAATCACATCAGCAAGGGGAAAAGTAATTTTATAAGAAAGCTTTGTTCCATTAATAGTTTTACGTAATAAACCTCTCAGTAAACACATACAGGACAAGATCCAAGACTGACACAAGCATGTTACTTGGTTATGTCCAATGTAATATCAGATTCATTATGTAAAAGAAAATTGAACTCAGAATACTGAAAAAGCCAATTCTATAAAGTACGCAAGTCAAAAGAAGAAATAACCAGGAGGCAACCTAGCGTGCTGCTTCATCCAAAAGGCTTTTAATTAGGGCTAATCTAAAAAGAGAAGGGTAGTGACAAGATAAAAGGGCATATCCAATGCATAAGGTTCCCACCAATTTATAGTAAGACAAGCTAAAAAACATAAATATAGTATACAGCTGGCGTCCTTTGCATGATGAAACAAAAATTTGAACATGGATCTAGCAACAAGACCTATCAGATGTGACCGTGGGATGACTTCCTAGATGGGGAACGTTGATATCTAATAGGAGAACTAGACCAATCAGATGTGTCCCGTCGTTTGTGCTCCCTGTTTTCCACCGCAGGCGCCATCCTTCGTCACAAAGTAGCCAAAGCTCCGAGTCGCAATATAATCAAGTAATTGATATCACTGAGTTCAAGCTAAAATTCGTCAGAACAAGCACTATAGTCAGATTGACGAACAAAAACTAATTTTCCATTAATATCATGAAGCAATAAAGCAGGATTAAGAAAAGCACACATTTCCCACAAATAGAGTATCTCGATTCCAGAGCCCACCAAAGACAATGGGCAAAACCATAGCTCAAAGCCATCAAACGAAAGGATAAGACAAAGAAACTTTATAGAACACCAAGAAAAGAGAAAAAACCTAACTTTAACGCGCTCATCAATTTTTATTCTCACTGCACTATATTATTTGTACCAGTTGCAAACAACGAAAGAACGAAAACAAAGATGGCAGGAATACTAACTGAGATGTGTTTGATACGAAAGAGAGAAAAAGAAAATCCGCGACAGCCAAGAAAAAGGGATCTCAGAGGAGAAACTTACATGCGAGAGAGGCAGGAGAGGGAATGGAAGGATAGCCCTATCCAACGACGGAGCGTTCGCCACCGAGGGGAGGCGCCATGGACGAACGCGCTGGGAGTCCGTCGCTCCACATATATATACGCAGCGGCCGTAGGAAGGGGCGGAAACGGGTCGAGTTATTAAATTTCCGGATGCAACCCGCGTCTTAAACGGGTCGGATCTAGGACTCATTTGGCAAACTTCTACAGCCCAAAACGTTTCGCAGGCCCACAAATTGCAAATGAATAACATCTCGTCCCCAAGTCTTTACCTTAAAAGCCACGTGGGCTCCACCAATGGTCCCCAGTTGATTTTCCAATCGATGAGATGTAATTGTGGAGGCTCAACGATAGTGTAGTTCGTCGGTTGGCGTGGACGAAACGATTCATGCGTAAAAGCAGCAAGTCGTCAAATACCTCCCCCGTTACTTGTATTATAATCTTACCCGTATTTTTCTTTCATGCCTCTGCCATCTGCACTACTGCGTCTTTCCCCAAACTTATGCATTCACTGGAGTGAAATAGGAAAATTGGGGGTGAATATAGTTGTAGAAAAGAGAACAATTAATAAACATCGAATCCGTTCGTTTCCCCAATCCACCCCCTTCATTCATGGCTTCTGTCGATCCACATCGTAACCCTAACCCTAATTCTAGAAATCCCATCTGGTGAGCGCGAAGAGCGGCGCCAGCTCGAGCTATTGCGGAGCGTCCCATGGAGGAGGAGAGGTTCCCGTCTTCGCGGGATAACCCTAGGGTTGCCGCCGACCGCCCCCCACGTCCGGCTGCGGCGGCGCCATCGATCATGGTGCGGTTCCACGCCATGCTCCGGGAGCGGGAGGAGGAGTTGAAGGAGGCCACGGGAGAGGACCCGCCTCCGCCCTTGACCGCGGATGATGTCGTCCGGTGTTACGAAGACGTCCTCGCGGAGCTCACCTTCAACTCGAAGCCCATCATCTCGGAACTCACTATGATCGCCGGGCATCAAGTTCGGTACGCCAAGGAGATCGCAGATGCCATTTGCGCTCGGGTTCTTGAGGTGTGATTTCGAGTTCTTCTTGCTGGCGTTCTTTTTTTGTTTGATTGTATCTAGTATAGGAAATTTGGGTTTGGTTGCGAGGAAAAGGATGTTTTTGATGGTAAACTTGGGTAAGTTCGATCTCTGCTGTGGTGCATACTCTGCTATCAGTGTAGTGTATCTCTTTGCTATATACATTTCTTTGAACATGATGTCCATTGCAATACTAAAGCACCTCCACTTATACTCAATGAGACCAATGGAATAATTGGTTTTTTATTTATGCGATAATTTTAGAACCTTTGTGGTAAGAGTAGAAATGAAGCGGATTGTGTTTCATCTTTAACTAAAATGGAAGCCTCTGTTCCATTTGTAGAATTATGTAAATACGGTTTATATATTTTCTTGATATAATTGAATTATGGTGATATAGTCTGTATTAATTGATGCAAAATCCTCAGGGTTCTTGTTAAGGAAAGGTGAAACTGCATGAGTTAGATTGCTTAGCTGATCTTTCTCGAATCAGAGCAATAAGGCTAGTTTTATACAATTTCAGTTCCTAGCTCTCATCTGAATATAGATTTTGTTCTCCTTTTTTTATTTTCTCATTTTGCTTCTCACGCCCAAAAGGTTTTATACTTTTGTGGGTCATTCTGCGCAGGTACCTGTGGATCAAAAACTGCCTTCTTTGTATCTTATTGATAGTATTGTGAAGAATATAGGTCACGAATATGTGAAAATTCTTGCTACTCGGCTTCCTAAGGTAAGTATCTTGGTGTATTTGGTGTCTCTTCCTCCCTTATTTCTATGTTTATCTTAGACTTCAGAGTACCTCTTGTGATATAAGTTGAAATAGTTGTCATGCTTTGTCATACAAGATAATGTGTGGTTTACCTATATAAAATATTATTGTTAAATGTGCTCCAGTTGTTGCTTTGTTCACCGACTTTGTGCTAAACATTAACGTTGCTAATTTTTCTTAATCTACTATGTTTGGTGATCTGCATGGATTTGCTCTCTTTATCGGAAAAGTGGATTCTCATTTTATTTATGTGTGCCTTTCACCTTTGTTGAAGGTGTTTTGTGAGGCATACAATCAAGTCCATCCATCCCAATATTCTCCCATGCGTCACCTCTTCAAGACCTGGTCACAAGTCTTTCCCCTTTCAGTCCTACAAAAAATTGAGGATGAGCTCCAATTTTCTCCATCAGAGAATGAGAGGCCATCAGGGATTGCAAGCACCAGACCATCAAAGTCGACATCGCCTTGTCCATCTCATGGTATTCATGTAAATCCAAAGTATTTGGAAGCACGTCGACAATTTGAACAATCTTCTGTGGTAAGATTTAACGATCCAGTTACACTTGCTTTCAGGCCACTTTTGACTAACAAATGCAAGTTCAGCTGTGTTAAGATTAAGGAGGTAGAAAGGATATATGAAGCTTATATATAGATGCTTGTTCTTTTTTAGGGCACATTTTGCATTAGAATGACACCTTTACATTTAACAGTTAAATCTGTAGTAACAAGACTGACAAACAAATAAAATTGTTCATAAACCAATAATGTATGACAGTCAGGGTGGAACTCGTGTTCATTATTTGCATGGTTATCTGTTGTTTTTTCATTTTGGTGATTATGGTCACAAGGCCTTTGTGACTAAAGTTCGCCTAGTTAATGCCCGTAATATCTTGAGCATCTATGGTGTGAGCGTGTCCCAGGTTAATGCTATTACTGGTTGTAGAAATCAATATTTGAAAAAAACTTCTGATCATATGGTACCAGAATAAACAAGTAGGAATTGCATGCAATCGACAAGTAGGAATATGAAGAGATCATACTTTGGACAATTGTATTGAATCTGGGAGGCAATAACATGATACCATTTACAGGCAAGCCAAATTGGATATGTGGCATTGTGCTATCTCATTAATATCTTTGTTTCAGATCTTGAAAGGATGAAAAGATAACACTATCAAACCATACTTTCTGTTCATCTGTTTCTCCAGAAGTTTTGTGATTTATGGAAGCAATCATTGAGCTTTATGGGAATAAAGAACTTTCATCTCTCTGTTTCTAGATCTATATTCTTCTTAATCTGTGCTTAGGGCCAGCTGAACAGTAGTTATATCTGTTGATACAGATTCATGCAGTGGACACTCATAAAAATGCACAGGAGTCTGATTATGACTTGGAAAGGTTGGAGGGACTTTCTTCAGAGAAACCTGAGGGATGGTCTGGAGCTACACGAAAACTTCATGTGCAGTGTTAATCCTTTTCTCTTGACTTTTTCTTGTCTCCAATAAATACAAACTTTCTCTTGACTTTTTCTTGTCTCCAATAAATGCAAACTTTCTAATATTACTAATACTAAGCTGAAAAGAGGACTTGCTAACCAAAAGTTCGGATAACCTTGACTTATTCATTATGCATACATTCAGCAATAATCTTTACGTAACATATGTTTGCTCCCTTTATGAAATCAATGTTCTATTGTTTGACCAGTTTAATAAACAGAAGAGATGAAAATGTATTTTGATTCTTGACAATCGCAAGCTATAACTGAATTTCTGCATAAGCTCAGAAGTTCAGAAAGTGCTAAATAACCTAGAGAACAGTTGTATTTGACATACTATCTTTGAGTTAAAAAATTATGGTTTATTAAGCAACAATTACTGTGGTTCAGGATACAAGGATTGAGTAAGCGGCCACTACAATAACAGAATTCAAAATTTTCAGCCATTTCTTCAATTCCTTCTACTCTACCATGCTTTTTTTAGAATGAATAATTCCATTCGTTACTTCATACAAATTTATAAGAAGGGTCTAAATCCAAAAAAAGTAAAATCCAAAAAGTATAGTACAATTATCCTATTACAGTCTTAAATATATTAGGAATACAACTATGTTTGTAAATTATAGAATTAGGAATATAGCTATTTAGGAATACAACCATATTCTAATGAGGAATACAATCATATAGAAATATAACTCTCGTAGGTATATGGCTTCCATATTTAAGAATTACAGTCTCCATATTTAGATTGGTCAAATTTTGAACTTGTTTTATGCAAATTTTGAGAGGCTGATTGAATTTGCTTCAGCCTGAGGTGTACCCCTCGCACCAAGTGCATACCATCTGCTACTAAAGTATACTGCAATATTAGATCCTTAAATGAAAAATCATGTAATGAGACTGTGTTATGATTTATTTCTTTCATTGCCAAATTGGGGTTGTTATTTCTGAATTTATTTTACAAATTATCTATTTTAGATATTATTAACCAATAATAGTGAGCCAAAAGAGGACCTCCTCCAAATAAATATATGGTGCTATAGCAATGATGAAGAGTTTGCATAACAATAGCAGAGTGCAATGGAAAAACTCTTTTAACTATTGGACTTCTGATTGCCTTTTTTAGTTGTTCTAATGCATCTGAAAAGTGTCTTTGTTGTTCTATTTTCTGAGCACATGATTTGTTCATGAAATTTATTTTAATTTTTTGCAGAGTATGCCACATGCAAGAGTTTCTTCTGGTGGTTTACAAGCTTATGGGCAGAAACCCTCCGCACAGTACAGTGAATATGATCTCGATCAACCTGAATTACTTCCCCAGCGCCTTGCTGTAGCAAGGGAAGGCTCACCACAAACAGCAATGTTGCGTCCTTCCTCAATGATTGATGCCAGAGGATCAGTTCCTTATTTGAAGAACAAAATATCAGTGCCATTATCTCCTCGAAGAATTGGTTTGAAAAGGCCTGTATCACCACCTATTGTGAGATCCCATAATGGAACTTCTCCAAGGAAGATTGGTGGAAGGGCTTCAACATCTCATTTTGGATCTGGGTTTGAACCTGGCAGACTTAGTGATCCTAATGGTTGGTTGGGTAGGAGCTGGCCATCCAATGAAGACCCTCAGCATGTGGAAGCATCCACACTATACAAGCTTAATAATGGATCTGGCAAACAGCACCCAAGAGACTTGATTGATGCTTATGGAAATCCTAGAGGTAGGGTTTCTTCTTATGAAAAGTTTTCGAAGGTCCAGCGTCTTGATGTGAATGGCATAGCCAGTGAGGCAGCTGCCAGAAAATGGAAGAACTCTGACGAAGAAGAGTATGATTGGGAGGATATGAGTCCAACTTTATCTGATCGAAGTAGAAGGAATAGCCTGCCACGAGTTGGGCCTAGTGCTGGAAGCTTAGGCATCCGAACTGGCTTTTCTAGACCTGATCCTGCAGTACTGGAATCAGATTTTGGAAGGCGTAGTTGGCCTGGTCAAGCACAGCTTCATGCAGCTGATAATCCCTCATTTATGGTTGAAGATAGAATTGCTGCCCGTGGAGTATGGCTCTTAAGCTTCTCTTCTCTGTCCCTATTTCCTATTATCATTTTCGAATGTTGATTATATATAAGTGAATTACTTTAACCTTTATCTGTTGTTGTCTCTTCTATTAATTCTAAGATCTAGTAATAGGTGTGTTAAGAATCTCTCGTGCATGTCTCATATTTGATCTCTTAGTATGTTAGACATGTTTAGATATTCTGCCTTTTAGTGGAAATATTATTTTGCTGCATGTGTTGGCTAACATTTCATTTATGGCTTTCTATGATATTTTCTATGGCTACAGAAGCCAAGTTTTCTATGTAAATTTATGTACAAGGACTGATGCATATAGGGTTACTGATTCTTCCAGGAAACAAATCACTGGCTAGTGAAAGACACTGAGGTTGAAACCTCTGACTTAAAAGATAAATCTTTTTGTTAAAAATTGCCTATTCCATCCTAGATCTGTTGAACCACCAAACTAATCTGAAATAGCTTACATCTCTAAAAGGGTGGCCCAATGAAGGATCTAGGAAGGGTTTATCAACATAATGTTGTACTTAAAGCAGCAGAGGAATTTATTTTGTTTTTCTTTTTTGACTTGTGGGATGGGGGTCGCAAAACGAAAATTGGAACCAGGAATCTGATAATGAAGGAATTTATTCCTTGAATGTTTTTATTATTTTTGTTTTCATACTTGTTCTATGCCTGGAAATCTCTAAATTCACCATAGTTCTTCAAAGCTATGCTCATTTGCTTCCTGTTTAACAAATATTAGTTGTAAAGAAAAAATTTTGGTTTTGCCTGTTGCAGTCTCGTTCTGCATCTATGATGAAGTATCTGGATGGTACAACAAGTCAGAGTGACATTGGAAAGTTAAGTTACCTGTTTCCACAGCCTACACACAAAAGTCTAAGCCCAAGGTCACGGAGCAGGGTTACTCAAATGCCTGTTGCAGCTAAGGAAATGACATCAGCAGCTGTTCAGAGGCTACCTATTCCACATGATTATTCACCTGATATAGATTTGCCGCACCACAGGTTATCAAATGCTCATGCTGATCCCTTGAAAATGGACATGTCAACACAAAGACCACATTCATCTGCTCCAGTTATCTTGCCTTCTATTCATAAATCTCAGCCACGGCCTTTACTTTCGATACCTCAAACTCAAAAACCAATCAGTAGTTCACCTGATGTTTCACTAGCTACTAAGTCAATAGCGATCCAAGGATCCCACCCAACTCGATTCGTCCCTGAGCAGCAATATGACATTGCTGATAGGAAGAACAAAGATTCAGTTAAGTTGCTCCATCTACCTTATAAACCTTCTGGATTACCTCATCTGAATCAGCAAACTCAGAAACAAGGGATTTCTGAACCAATTCCATCTCAGGGGTCTTATGGAAGTATTCTTCCACCTGCAGAAGTCATGGTTCCATCTTACTCGGTTGGACAGCCTCTAAATTTCCCACCAACACTATTACATGGGGCTACGACTTCTGCTTTGCAATCTTCTTCATTTGTTACACCTTCTATCGCAGTGCAAAATACAACTGATGCACTTTTACATGCACCTGCTGGCCTTTTGCCACCTCTACCTCCTGGACCACCACCATCTTTATCACAAATAGGACTTACATCTCAAAGTATGAGTTCTGCAGTATCTGGCTCATCTACAAGTGCATTTTCAGGCCTTATCAGTAGTCTCATGGCACAGGGGTTGATATCACTGAAGTCACCTCCACAACCTCAGGTACCTCAATTGCCTAGCAAATTTGCTTTATTCATTATACTGGAGTTACTTTTATGGTTTTAAGCAGTCTTTATCCCAGAGATGATACCATTTCTCAAGCATGTGACTGCAACTGTACAGGATTCTTTGGGGGTTGAGTTTAATCTGGACCTTCTTAAGGTGAGGCATGAGTCTGCAATTAATGCTTTATATGCTGATCTTCCAAGACAATGCACAACTTGTGGCCTGCGTTTCAAGTGCCAAGAAGAGCACAGTAGTCATATGGATTGGCATGTAACCAAAAACCGGATATCAAGAAACCGTAAACAAAAGCCCTCTCGCAAATGGTTTGTGAGTGCAAAGGAATGGCTTAGTGGTGCAGAAATACTCGGAAACGATGTTGTTCCTGGTTTTTTGCCTACTGAATCAGTTGCAGAGAAAAAAGAAGACAAAGAGGTAGCAGTTCCTGCAGATGAAAATCAGAATGTTTGTGCATTATGCGGGGAGCCATTTGAGGACTTCTACAGTGATGAGACAGAGGAATGGATGTATAGGGGGGCAGTGTATCTGAATGCTCCAGATGGAAATCTTGAAGGATTGGATAGGTCTCAGCTGGGTCCAATTGTCCACTCTAAGTGCAGGTCTGAGACTAATGAATGTTCTGCACCAACATAAAGGGTAAGCAACTGTGAGAACATTGGAACTTATGAGTTAGGATGACAGTTTATAGTGCAGGTTGGAAATGAATAATGAAGGATGATAAACCATGAGTTTCAGTACTTCTATATTTACTATGTGCCCAAATTTTGTTTCTGATTACAAATAAGCTATTAGGATCTGGTACAAGTAGCTTGTAGATTCAAGAAATATCACTTGATTTAAACACTGCAACTTATTTGTGATCAGACTGTTTTCGGGATTAAAATATCTGCCATACATGATAAATCTTGGTAATTTCATTAATTCTGCCTCAATAATAATTTCTGTCCTAGTTTCTTGAATTGTTATGTGGTTTGTTTACAGTTGTCCAGTTCTGACCATTTCTTATTGTAAGCAGGGAAACTAACCCCAAATGATCGGGTCACAAGATTGCGGTGCTATTAACTTGTAAATTACTTGGAGGATCCAGGGTCACATGGTATGCAATGCTTCATCTTTTTCTCCCTTATGGTCGAGCCTGCCTACCATGGCATTGTTCAATACTGTACATGTAAAGTTAAACATCCTTAGCAAAGTCTATAATGGTGCATCCATCCCTTCTGTTTCCTTCAGCTCTTGCAGTGAGTACAATGCAAAGATTTGTCTGATGTTAAAATTTAACTCTTCAGTAGTGTGGTTAGCGAAACATCTTACATTTTCAATTATCCAATCTCTCCATTAGCATATCTTTTTTTTTTTTCTATTCCACTCTGCTCTTTTTCTTCTCCGTTTTTTTCGCTCTTTTACAGCACTGTGCAGGGAGCGAAATTTCCTGAGCCGGTAGCATTTCAAGCCCTTTGTTGGTTCGATGACGATATTGCAAGGGCGGACAATGTACCTGCAGCAGTAGCAGCCGCAGTGATGCAACTGTTGTAGTTCTCTGTTTCTGCTCCTTTAGAACACGTAAGACATGGATCTGACCAGTGTTGAATTTGAAATGGCTTTAATAATATCTATTGCAATTCCATCCTCAACTTTGCCCGTGTCAAATGCTCTCTGGTCTCTGTCATTTGTTAGTACACATATTTGTAAGATCTTTGACTTGATTGCAATTGTGGTTTAAGTACGCTTGGGAATCCTGTTTGAATCTCTGGTTTAAGTACGCTTGAAGAGTGGAATTGGAGTTACTTCTTCTTTTGAATCAATTAATCACTATGAACCACATACGTAATACAGATCATTCATTATTTGCCACCCTCGACAGGTCATCATTCGCAATGGTTGAAACAGAGTAATCTAAAGTCAATTAAGAATGCTAATTTTAATAATCAAAATATATAATACATAGTCATAAAGATTAAAAAAGTATGTATACAAAATTAGATGATGGAAAATATCAATATATATATATATAACAAAATATCATATAAAATCAAAGAGGTACGTACAAAATAATATCACAGATGTGATGGAAAGCACGACATAACATACATTGATTTTAATTCCTAAAATTCTTAAACCAAGTATATGAAAGGATTTGGTCACTCCAAAAATTACCACAGTAAACAAACCCAAAAGATTTGATCATATTCCGATTTCAATTCTAATTTAGATTGTGATTCCCACTCCAATTTAGTTCAGAAATTGAGTCCATGCACGGAGTCAAGTGACCAAGTCGGGTAGGAGTCGGAGCCGTAAACGATACGGACATCTCCCACAATCCCACGTGTTGAGCTGCCATCGCGAGTCACTATAAATAGGCCTCCTTGGCACCTCTTTCCCGTGCGCTCTGCTAACGCATACGACTCCCTCGTCTCCCTCCCTCCGCAACACCGGTCGAGGCTGTTCAAGGTTTATAGCCTTCCCTTCTCCTCGCATCCTGGTCTTCTTCTTCTTCTTCTTCCTCGTAATTGTTTGTGCTACGTTCAATTGATTGCGGATCAGATGGTTATATGCGATCTTTCTCAGGGCCTTCTCTGTTGTTTTATATCAGTCGAGATTATTAGGGTAGGGTTTACGATCGTCGATGTTTTCCCCTCTTTATACTTTAGAGCCCGTGGATATTATTGATCTCTAGTGATCGTGTAATGTGATCTATTATTCGTATTCTTCTTCGGGATCTATTAGTAGTTGCTCTGCTGATGAATCTTTTGGATTCATGTATCCTGTGAAGGTATTTTTTAATCTTTAGCGATTAGACATTGTGATCTATACTCGTGATTCCCGTTCTTTAGCACTCTTCTGGTTCTAGTAGTAGCAGATTTCAGATTAATTACTTTTTGATGTATCTTTTGGATTCATCTGCCATATGATATTAAATGTTGGGCACCAATTTAGTTAAAAGATCACAGCATTTTTTGTGTTGATATTGTGGTTTTCTGTCGTATTTAATAGTTATGCGGTGATAAGTAATATGGCTTTAGTCTCTTTTAGAATATTTGGATTGGTTAATGCATTGTCGTATTTAATAGTTTTTTTTTATAAAAAAGAAAATAAGATTTAGTATCCAAAATATTAGGGTCCGCTGTCTTTTCTTTTAATTTAGTATGATTTATTGATCTTTCCTGTTCTTTTAGATATAACAATATTTTTATCAAAAAGATTGATATGTTAAATAATTCTGTCGGTTTTAAATTTAGGATGAAATGTTACGATTTTTTTCTTTGTGACTTAATCTTTATTTATGAAAGATGTGAGGTGTTTTTATGTTTGGATGTTATTTTTCTTCTTTATTTTGAAGAAGAATGGCTTCGATCATCTGTTTGGTTTTGCTGGTCGATCGTGTGATAATTTTGTTCTGTGGGTAAATTGTTCTGCATTTGAATTATATTCGTATTGTGTAATCGACGGGTGTATGCCTGATCGACATGTTGTTGCTCGTATCAGATGCAAATCTTCGTGAAAACTCTCACCGGCAAGACCATCCGTCTCGAGGTTGAATCCTCCGACACCGTCGAGAATTTAAAGGCCAAGATCCGGGAGAAGGAAGGAATCCCCCAAGACGAGCAAAGGTTGATCTTTTCCGGCAAGCAACTCGAGGATGGCCGGACTCTCGCTGATTACTCCATCCAGAAGGAGTCCACCCTCCACCTTATTCTTCGTCTTCGTGGTGGCATGCAAATCTTCATCAAGACCCTTACCGGCAAAACCACCACCCTCGAGGTCGAGAGCTCGGACACCATCGAGAATGTGAAGGCTAAGATGCAAGACAAGGAGGGTATCCCTGTGGACCAGCAAAGGCTCATCTTTGCCGGCAAGCAATTGGAAGATGGCCGCACCTTAGCCGATTACTCCATCCACAAGGAATCTACCCTTCATTTGGTAATGAGACTCCGGGGGGGAGGGATGCAAATTTTTGTCAAAACCCTCACCGGAAACACCATCACCCTGGAGGTGGAGAGCTCAGACACGATCGCCAATCTTAAAGCAAAGATCCATGACAAGGAGGGCATCTCACCGGATCAGCAGAGGCTCATCTTTGCCGGGAAACAGCTCGAGGATGGCCGCACTCTGGACGACTACAGCATTCAGAAGGAATCCACTCTTCACCTGGTTCTCCGACTCCGTGGTGGCCAGTGAAATGAAAACACGGTCTTCTGCTCTTGTTAGATTCTCATCTACACTTAGAAATTTTGTTAGTCTCGTATTTTGTTAGATCTCCGTCTGATGGCAATGTCTTTTTCTTGCTGTCATGCTGAATAATAACGGCAATTAGATAGGTCAATAGAAACCTGTTTTACGTAGAAAATGCCATTCGGGCTGTGAATACAATTGCTTATTGGTGGTCTTTTGGTTTAGCTTTCTTTGTCCACACATTCTTTGTTCAACATTGTCTCAAGAATTTACTGACGATTTAAATACAATTTTTATCATGTGTTTAGTTTGTCATTTTTTATTTTTGTTTTCTCTCCGCTGATGTAAATGTTATTGGGAAATGCTCATTTATCTTCTTTCTATACATGATAACAACTTTCAGTATTTCTTGTTCTTGGGTGATCTGACAGTTTTATCGTGTGCCTTTTTCCGATTAGCATTCTGCGATTTGGCAAGCAGTAGTATTAGTTCATGCTGTTTGGATTTTGTTTGACAGATTTGTATACTAATATAGCTTTTAATTTTCAAAAAGAAGAGAAAAAAGCATACAAAGAACCTCAAACTTGTCTCCATCCGATCTTATTGTCTCTGCTTTCCTCGCAAGGCTTTCATTTAAAATGGGTAGTTAGTTCATCTAAGTGGTTGTTGTGCCCATCAACAGTTATCTTTGCTGGGTTAGATGACATCTTCACCACTTGGATATTATTGGCCATCTCAACTAATAAAAGGCTCCATCTCCATTGATAACAATCAAAATCTTATCTTCACCACTTTGTGAACTGATAGTACAATAGTAAATCACTGTTTTGTGAATTTTCCAGCAATGTGCAGAATCAACAGCTTTTTCTTAGAGAAACATTTTTGACAAGAAACACTCACCTAAATTGTCTCACATAATGTGTGTATATAATCTAGAAAATTTGGATTAAAATATTAGGGCAATGATATCAAACACACTGAAATGGGATCAAACTCCCCCAACCATGCTTTCAACGATTTGCTGATTGCCTACTAAGAAGACTCTACTCTTCTAAGTTCACATTCCGGGCATCTCCTCCAAGCACCTTGGGCACATGCATCTAAAGCCATAATCGGCAAGGAGGGTTTGTCTCTCATCATATGGGAGATCCTCATCGATATATGAAATAGTAATCTGCAGGAGTTAATCCAAAGCATCAGGGTTCCCACCGAAAGCAGCAACAGGAACCTACCAAGCTAACAATGGATTCTACGGCTAGAACATGGCAACTTCATAAAACATCATCATGTTCTTCAGCAATACAATACCTCCTCTCCTTCGACAATGGGTCGTGCTGCTATAATGATCGCTTGACCATCTTTATCCTGTAATGAAGGCCAATCCTAACTTCATCAAAATTTTGAAAAAAAAAAAAAACACATTCTAAGACATTTTTAACTAGTTAATATGTGGAGGAGCATGAAGGTTTCTGAAAGAACATCAAGAATTGAGACATGCAAAAGCCTGCAACATGTGGGGATGTTTTCTATGCGGATATATGTGCCAAATAAATTATTTGTCCGAATAGTTGAAAAGAGCAATAATTGTGCAAATATTGAACTGATGTTAAAAATAACAACAGAGAGTGTCTAAGTTCTCTTTATAACAGTGACAGCATTACAATTACTGAGATGAAATCTGTAAGTATAGTGTTAAGCAGCAAATATACAAAAAAAAAAAGGAATGTCATGTTAAGCATTGCATCAACCATACTATTGTGACATGGTGTTTTAATTATAGATCAATAAAGAATTTCTCATAACACTTGGAGGCACCACTTAAATTTTGTGTATTTGCCAAATGCAATGATTCAAAAACAAAAAAGAGGTTATTAAGAACTAGGTGATTAAACAATAGGCTTTCATTCATGAATCAAGACCCATAAGTTATACTTTTCAGTAGTATACTGCAAGTTTTAAATGTTGCCCTGGGTGATTATTCAAGCATGTAGCCTATCAGAAATATGACAGATCCATATAAACGTGTGAAACTCCTCAAATGACACTGGTTGGTTCAGACTTACACCTATAGAGGTTAAACCTTTTAAGTTTTACCTCATCTCTTTTGAATGCTTTCGCATTGGGGCAACAAGAATGGTTCATGCAGCTTTGCAGAGGGTAGAACCCAGTACCTGGACATGAAAGTAAAACATAAATGACATGACAATCTGTCATTCAATGAAAGAATCTTGAACGAAAGCAATGGTATTTGATTATTTGCCTTGATAAGTTCATATATAGAAAAAGCACATTAAATGAATATTCAAAATCTACAGCTGTAAAATTGACTTTTTATGCTTATATTTTTATGTCATAAAACATAAATTTATATCATAGCAAATAATACAATTTGTCTGAAACAGGAGCAAGATTGGTATTTTCAGTGGAATTTTCCATTTTTTTCTTGCAGCAAAATATTGTTTTGGCTTTTCTTTCGGGGTTTCTGACAATCTTGACTTTTGGTCATTTTATTATCTATTCCCATCAACAACCGAGTTCCTTAACAGGCACTGTCCTAGGTTGATGTTTTTCCTGTCTGGTAAGGCAGAAGAGGAGCACGTGTACATAAATACACCTTTGGTAATTGTTGGACTTTTATTTTCAGTATCTTAAATCCTACCACATCATTGCTGACTTGATTCTGGGCTGAAGTTGGGTTGACCTATAAATTATCCGTATTATTGATGTGTTTTATCTTAGTTATATTATGAACTCAGCTATAAAAAAAAAATCAAAATTATCATTAACATTAAATGTTAAATTTGGCCCAAAAATTGTTGGACAGCATACCAACAATAGTATGCATCCGCATGGTGCAGCAGTGTTTGCATAAGAAATTACAGAAACAAAAGCTTGATCAATATGGCTATAATCATTGATGAGTAAAACTTAATGCATAAGAAATTACAGAAACAAAAGCACAGAAGTGTTTGCACGTATAGGTTTTAGGTTGAGAAAGTGAAAGTGCACTGTGCAACTATGCAGAATTCTTCGGGTGTCTTGTCACTCTAAAAGCACACGAGAGGAAATAATGAAAAAAAACATCACATGAATTCAACATGAAAGCTTTAGCATTAGCAGAGCAATTCTGGCATAGTGGATATCAAAGCTATGTTGGTAATAGAAATTCGAAAAGTTGGTACAGTATAAACAACTACAGTATGGTAGGTATGGTTAGGAAAACAAGGGACTACAACCATGGTCAGATGCACTATACTAACCTTGACAACAAACAGAATACTCATCACCTAGTGACTCCAGGAGCGGTCGTGTTAGTTTCTCAGCTTCCACCTGCAACAGATCAAGTTCTCCTATTTAGAAGAGCGATTCATGACATATGGAAAGTATGTGTACTAGTTTTTACCTTCTCTGGAGAGGGAAGATCATCAATATGTATGAAATAGTCCTCAACTGGTGATGCCACAACTAGATCACTGCATTCATAATTTGATAACCAGTTTTGACGAGGCCATAATGGGAAAAGCTATCTTGAAGATGAACATATGTATAGACAGAAAGATACTGCCAATCTAGAATAACACATTTGAATAGAACCAATAGAACCAAGAATCCCAAATTAAGGAAAAAGCTTACTATCTACAGCACAATAGTATCTGTAGGTTCTGTTACTCACAGATTATTAAGCTCAAACATGCCAATAATATGCCCATAGATCTCAAGTGAAAATACTTAGCATAGTCAAGGAAAGTGACATCGATAGCAATTAAATGAAACCTACCAAAACGGATAAGGTCAGCTTGATCAGCAAATTATCAACACTAAAGAAGATATAGTTTGTCTCAATCAACTGATTGATAAATATAGAAGGATACAAGGCGCGCATTCATCCTCGAAGATAGCTTCCTTGAGAAGCTGCAGGGACTGCAAAGATAACATAATTTCTTGAAGTCTTATTTAAAAATCTCCATCTTTACTTTGGCATTAACCAATAAAGTATCAACATCATAGTTGTACAATAATACTAGTGACTACGAACAGAAAACTTAAGTATGACAGCTTAACAGCTGCAATAAACAATTATGCAAACAATATTACAAGAACCAAATTCTTTAGTTACCTCAAATCAAACAGAATGTATACAAAAAGGCAGGTAATCGACATTTACATATTTTGCCTACATTGATAAACATAGCAGTAACTGCTGCATCTCGTCTTTTTTTATAAGTTGTCAATCGCATATGGTAACTATAACTTTCTTGTATGTTATTACAACAGTCCAAATGGCTAAGCAACTAATTAATAAATCAACACAGTGAATTGACAAGCCTGCAACTGAATACGGCAATCATATTTTATGTAAACAGTGAAATACAAGCCGAAGTGACCTCTTTCATGAGCATTTTATTATTTGGAAGCTACTCACCCAAACCACTTTGAAAGTAAAAGGTCATGATGCAACTAAGTCATAAGATTCGAAAGGCAACAATGTATTTCTTCGAATATATAGAATGGAACAAAAGAGTTTGAAAAATGTCAATATGGTTGTTAGTCTTTGATGTTACCCAGATGATGAGGACAAACGGTTTCTGCAAAGTCTAAAAGCACCAAGTGAGTGCTGGCTATCATATGATAAAGTTCCAAAAACAATGAATACAACAAAAAATCTATGGTATTTTAAAAGAAATATGGTAGCTAAAATGGAGGCAAAGAGCTGTATATATGATGACTACAAGGACTACGGTATTCTTTTACAAAAGTTGTAACTAAAATTGGGAGGAGATTAATAGACTGTAAAATCTAAGGCAAGAGAGCATTTATGGACTTGCTAAAACTAAGGCAAGGAAGAGTAGAGATGTAGTTAACATCAGATTTATGGAGGTTTTGAAAGACCAAAAAGTGCATGTTCATGAATGAAATTTAAGAAAAAATAAAGGAATCCACTTGTATAAGTTATTTAACAGACATTCTTCAAACAACTTAGCTTTGGACAGAGAAAATAGTAATATGATTTTAGAACAAGTAACACAGATGTGCCAACACGAAGGAGAGACCATTACCATTTTACCATATCAGCATGATGCATGCATAATAACCACCATGTGAATTCCATGCCATGGATTCTTATCAACTCTAAAATGAAAGTCTAAGACACTTGTTCCCAAGAAGGCCATCATTGAATACAATAGCAATAGGTCTCAAGCACATCAAATTCATATTTAGCAGCACAAGATTACTCAGGTTTGTTAACATATTGCAGCAAGAGCATGCTTACGGTAAAGGCTAGGTCTCTTAGTTGCATTCTGAATGATGCTTCATCAGAAGAATCAACATCATCGGGCAAAGCAATACAGTCCCACCACCTACAAGAACAAATGCATCGACACTCAACCTTACCAATACATAGATACAAAGTTATAGCTTGGCAAATTGCTACTCTTAAGAAAACAAAGAAATACTATGAGGATTGAAATAATGATTTTATTAGAAATTTTATAAATTCTACCCCTATCCAATATGATGGATAGCCTTCATACATCATTTTGTTGTCTAAGAAGGGTAGCAAAAGTTCAAGCACATCATAAATTAGTTCCTTCCTTTCAACAGATACATTGCTATTACATGGAGAAAAACTTTGAGCATTATAGACTTTTGATTTGCAGATGATGGATGTGGCCTAGTAGAAATATTTTGATTCTCATGTGATGGAGAACCATCCAACTTTATAAATGATTTCAAAAAAAATTATTCTAGGCAAAGAAATCAACAAAAAATCATCCAATTAGTTGACCTAGAAACTCTAAGAGTTGTGTGGAAGATTGAAGAGCCTTTTGGTCTTTTTAGGTGCTAACATTGGGACTCTACTTTTGTATTAAGTGCACTCTTTTGGGCTATAATCAGTTGTTTCAAAAATGTTTAGACCTCCTAAAAGTCACATTTGGGGTTTCTAAAAAGCATACAAGTTCCTTAGGAGGTTAATATTGGGTATCTACATTGATTGTACTAAGGCTCCTAAACCTCTATAAATAGTGGACCAATAGATGAGACACTTCATATTGGAAAGAAAAAGAATTACATCTTTACTCCTCTAGCCTCTTACTCTTCTCTCGTATCTCTAATCTCACTCCTCTCTTTCTCTCCTATTTAATCTCTAATCTCACTCCTCTCTTGCTCTCTCTTTATTTCTCTATGTTGTTCTATATCAATTTGGTATCAGAGCTACCAAGAAACCTGCCCTGTACCTTACTGGGTCCCAACTAATAGTAAAAGCTTTAATCAACACTCTTGGATCCTTGCACCTCCAAAGACAACCCCCTGTGTGTGGAGCAGTGATT